TCTTTATAATATAGTTCACAATGTAAGAAATGCTATTTAAGCCTCACTTTAGATTACTGCCATAATAAACCACCTAAGGTACCCAATGAGGATAGGTGGATGTTAGCATATTTAGCATATGCAAATGCAATCGTTATCAACGTACTAGTTGGTAATATACCTAGGTGCATGAAAAAATAAATATTTGGTCACCCATCCTATGATTGACCCTTGCGTTAGTTGCTTAACTTCTGCATAACAGATCGAATTCATCATTATTAATATTAATATTATATAATTTCGATTTGATCGATAATGAAACCAATCATAATCAAACAATATTCTTTGAGTACAATAATCAAAAATTATATTAATACGTGAAGCAATTACTTGAAAACTGCGCGAACGGAGGAATCCAAAACGAACTACATATGGTGCGATCCACACTTTTGTTTTCTGAATAGCAAAGAACCCTCCAGAAATATTTTATAATAAAACCTTAATAATAACTGTTCAAACAATATAAAATCTTAATAAAGGAACACTAAATATGGATAAGTTACAGGTACTATAAACGCTATAATCAGCTCGATAAATATGTCAAATTAAAACTATATTTTATCAATTGACTTAAAAAACCTTCTATGCCGTATTTTCTTTTATATAGACACTAACGGTCAGTTGCACAAACGTCCATTAAAGTTTAATGACGCCTTTAAGCTCTAATGAATGTCAAATTTGTATGGGTAATGTCGCTTTAAACTAATGAAAAATTTAGTGGACGTTTGAACAACTGGCTGTATATAAAACAAAATCGCTTCTCTCCTTCTGGACGCTGAGAACTTTTACACTACACAACGTATTTTAATGTGGTTTTCAATCAAAGAAGGTCTATACTCGTACGTATTTACATACTGTATTATTACAGAATCACGAGAGCGATGCCGCTGGCGGAAAGCTAATTCTAATATAGGTATATTATATCCTTACTGCGGTTAATAATTTAACTGTTCTAAGAATCATACTAGAAGATAATATTTAAAATGTTTGTTGTTGTAAACGATTATATTAGTGTTTTTTAGTGAAGAGAAACTACAAAAAAAATGTGATATCCTTCGTATTTCGGTCATTACTTCCATGTATTTGTAAACGTTAACATCAGTTATTCCGTACTGGGAGCACGTGACGGGCTATGGGTTGAATCACATGATCCATTGGAAAGGTGTGCCAATAATGAGAAATGAAAAAAGTTTTTTTACCAAATCAAGGTGTATTCAGCAAGGGCATTGTGCTTGCAAGTGCCGAAATGATAAAAATGATTAGAATTTAGATTAATTTATAGTTTCTTTTAATATACTGGTTTTCTTTTAATAAGAAAGCACCTTATAATCATACAATAAACTATTGTATGATTATTAGGTGCTTTCTTATTATTTATTCGGTTTTGGCGCCGAATATATTCGGTTCGAATATTTCTATTTTCTTGGCTAACTATAGAGCTACCCAAGACCCAACAGGAGTGACGAATTTTCCAAGCACTTATTAAATTTCGCTACTAGTGACCGTATTTTCATCTACGTTCAAGCAATAAATGAATATGTTTCAGTGTTGCCATTGTGAATGCAAAATTATATTATTAACTATAGACACTATAAAAATATAGTAGAAATCAGAAATAAAATAAAAGTTAGAATAATATTTAAAACAACATGAAATAAAAGTTAAGCAAAAACGGTTCAGACACACCAACCTCTCAGCTCTCTCTAGCAAGAGTCTGTTAGGATTTTCTTCATATAGGTTTCCTGATTCCGAAATAATTATTTGCTATATTACAAGGAGCACTTAGAAACGCTCTGGCTAAATAAAAATAATGAAATGGTAAATCAAATAATTCGCCCGAATATCCGGTTCGGTAAAAGTTAAACCGAATACTATTCGTTATCCGGTTATTCGGTGAAACTACTATTCAGTGCATCTCTAATTATTAGATGCCTCGAATTTGTGGTTACCGGCAGTGGTTTTGAGCATTTTTATTTGTTAAAATAGAATATTTTGAATAATTAAGGGAATATTTCAAAAGGGTTATAGAGGATACGGCTAGAGAGAATAAGATAGCAAAACCCGTTATGAAATAATTCATCACAGCTGCAATGGCCGATGTTATCCTTAAAAGACGTCAACTGAAGATCATAAGCAGTATGCAGAACTAAGCCGCCAAGTTCAACTACGCTGTCGAAAAGATTACGAAAACTACATTAATGAAATCTGTCTCGAACTCGAACAGTACTCATTAAGAGATCTTATTCAGAAATAAAAAGAATTGACTGGTAAACGTAAAATTAAAACATGTGCTATTGAAGATGGAAATGAGAAACTTACTAAGCGTTGGAGCGCTGAAAATCTACTGCGTGGAGCTGTCTGACAAGGGAGAGTCTTCTGACGCTATTATCACATGGACGTCGGAAGAACCAAATATCCTACCATGAGAAATTGAGTATGCCATCAAAACTCTTAAATGTAATAAATAACCGGGTAAAGATGGCATTACAGCCGAATTATTAAAAAAACTTAGGGAAGCGAGGCACAAAAACGATTACTGAAATCTGTAATACCATCTGGAAAACTGGAAGGTGGCCAAAATACGGGGCACTATCGGGATTTATACCATTGCACAAGAAAGGTTCCTCAAAATTTTGTGCAAATTACAGGACTATCACGTTAATATCCCATGCAAGCAAGATCCTTCTCCATGTTATTGATCGGGGTCTCAATAAAATCCCCGTGGTTCTCTGCTTTATCGATTACACAAAAGCCTTTGATTGCGTTCATTGGGGTAAACTGTGGAATGTGCTACTGGAAATGGCAGTTCCTGATCATCTCGTTAGTTTGATCCAGAATCTGTACACTGAAAACCGTTCTGTCATCAAGATAGGCACGGAACTCTCCAATATATTCCAAACAAAAAAAGGAGTGAGACAAGGTTGCATTTTGTCCCCTGCGCTGTTCAATAAAAGTATATGGGGAACACATTATTCGGAAGACTATTGAAAATTGGAGAAAGGCTTTCCGTATTGGTGGACAGAGATTGTCAAATCTCCGATATGCCGATAATACCGTCTTGCTGGCAACGTCAGCAACGATTCCTTGCATACTTTGGTCACACCAGTCGCTCACCAACTAGATGGACCGATCAGGTGAAATCCTCATCATCATTCAAATTGTAGACCGTTGTAAGAGATACGCTGTACTGTAACCAATGGGGACAAGTCATTCACACCAGATGCGACTCTGATACTGACCACGATCCTCATTCATGAGGGACCGACTTTTAATAAAAACACAAATCGTAAACTTTTCTATTTCTTTTATTTTTTAAAAATCTATCTATAAATAAAATATTTTTTTATTGTAGTCCAGGGAGGGTTTAAACGGTAAAAGGTGATAGGAAAGACACCGGGTGATCTAGTCATAATTATATGAATGACCTTGTGAAATCATACCAAAAGCGTTGCCATTAATGGAACGCTACGCAATATTTTGGGCATGTCAATGGTCCCAAAATTCATTATACAATACAAAAAAAAATGTGAAGTAATAATTTTCTCAACAATCGGAAAATCAAATTTATTTAATAGCGTTTCTATTACCTTTTATATCTTTCTTTACAAAAGAAAAGTAGGACGTTGATACCTATAAATTCGCCAACTGTACGTTATAGCATTGTAAATGCAGAATTGATCAAATATAATATTAATGTATGGTCCTAGGGATGTCGCCGATTCTGGGAACGCTGCTGCGGCGGCGCCGCGATGCCGGGAAGGACTCGTCGACCGAGATACCCTCATCCACCACCACCAGCACTACCCCTGAAACCTACCACGACTCAGGTATGATATAAGCAAGGGGGGTGTGTATCCTGGCGAATCGATCGCTGCTTCCCAGATTTCATTCCCCTAGCAGAGAGTTCACCGTTTTGGTGAGTAGGCCTCCGGTCACGAAGAGTCAGTTAAAGCAAGCAACCGACGCATAAAAAAGGTATGATATAAGCATATGAATCAAAATTATTGCTCTGAGGGCCTACCCTGTCCACAAAGAAATTTGAGAAAATTTCAAATCTTTCTTATAATTTTTAACCGACTTCAAAAAAGAAGGTTATCAATTCGAGGTGTATGTGTGTAATCGTTGGAATGACGTAATATTCATATATGTAGATCTGTATAGGCTTCTAGACTATGTCTGTATGTTTGTAAAAAAAATTGTCGGTGAATCAACTTTTTGTGTTTCATTTTATTGAAAGATTTATTTTTTATTTTTGATAAATGCCTTCATCTATTCTTCATAAAGAACACCTCCATTATTAGAAATGTCATAAAATAATAGATTGATAATTTAATAACAAAACGTTAAACGTGACTTTTGAGATTATTTAAAACTTGACATAGTATTGATTAGTACTTCTTAACGGTGGTCCAACTGTGATCCCCGGAAGCATCCAAAGTGATACTATACAAAAATAATCAATAACTTATATATCATAATTTTATGCGTATTTTATGTAAAGAGACAAAAAACGTATGTATCTACGCTAAGGTACAGTATATTAAAGCAAGTAAGCTCATAACTTTTGTACTGAAAAAACGCTTGATAGTTTTTTTATCTAGCCTTAGTATTTATTATATACTTTAATAGATTCAACGAGCAATGGACCATTGTCGACGACAGCCGCGACTACCACTGAAACGCTGGGAGAGATGACGGCCGACATGGCGCACAAGATGAACTTAGAAACATGGCAACTGGTTGCCATCCTTGTCGGTAAGATGCTAAAATAATAAAATTCATATCAGTAAATTCATATTCCGATAATAACACATACATAAGTAGAGCCCTGCTGGTCGATTCTATAATCGCAGAATTTATGCTTACCAAGATAGAACTTCTGATTTGGAAGGCTCTAAATATGTTTTGGCAGCTTCTTCAGTTGTTAACACCCAACAATTCGATTAGGGCCTCGATGCAGCGTATGTACCATTTCCTCTATGATAAACTCTAAATGGCTACATTGACTGAAACAAGCGGATCATAGAAATGACGGTAGTTATAAAAGAACCTTTTAAATTACACAGGCGTGGGTGTAGTCGTGCTGGGTATATGTTTCTGTTGCATCCGAAGATGCTTCCGCAAGAGGCGCTCCAAGGATGGCAAGAAGGGAATGAAGGGGGTCGACCTCAAGTCCGTCCAGCTCCTGGGATCAGCATATAAAGAAAAGGTAATGTATAGTAACTTCACATAGACACAGAATCTAGTATATTTTTTATTTTATATTGAAGTTGTCGTAACGACGAACTACAAAATGATTACGTGTGAATAGTGTTTAAATTCATCACAGTCATTATAAAGATACCTATACTCGTACAACATAACTCGAATAAATTAAAAATCTATAACATACTAATACTTTGTAATGTTAGGTATGTCTTTACATGTTGATGAGCGTCACTTATATATGGCCCGTGCTGCGTGGCGCCCTGAATAGCACAGATACTATTTTTCATTATACAACATGAGGAATGGGCTACATGTAACTGATGCTTTAAAAAAACCGCAATAAATACGCTTACAATAATTAAATTCGCTGGCTAAGACCTCTGTGAATTTACAAAAGATTTTATTTGTTTAGACAAAAAGAAATATAATTTCCTAGATCTTACCTAATAATTTAAGAAAGTTTGCAAGCCGTCGAACGATATTCTAGCGTAAACAAATCCGAAATTTGCTCATTTATTACTTTTAAGAGATAAGATATTCATGTGAAATTTGCCGCGGGACGTGCATTTAGGTTCAGCCTGACATGGAGGAACTAACGGAGAACGCTGAAGAACCTGACGATGGAGACTCTAAGAAGGAGGAACAGAAACTAGGCAAGCTTCAATATAAGGTGGGTCTGAAATTGTTCTTCAATAAAGAAGAAGTTTTAGGGTGAAGCGCTCAGCTAATCAGCAATGGTATGAACGCAACTGTCTACCGATGCGAATGAACAATAATTTTACTGGTTAAATCCTCATCAACTAGAATAGCATCATCGTTTTATTTCTGTCGACATACCTACTCATTTTCGGCGCATGCCTTTTTACATCCTCAGAAGACAGTTACTTTCTTACGCTCTTTATTTTGATCTACAATTTGGTACTTAATATTTTTCATCAGTTCCAACATAAATCACTGTAATAATAATCACTAATAGCTCATATCAGAATTGTTTGTGTATTTTACGCTTATTTGAACGAAATCGCCTCCAAAATATGTAATTTCTAAGCATTGATAACCCATGCCATTTAAACTATTCAAGCATTCTTTCTACATTAACAATGGTGTAACTAAAATAATACTTAAACTAACAATCTCAGTTTTCATTTCAATTTGCAGCTAGAATACGACTTCAATAGTAACAGTTTGTCAGTGACCGTTATCCAAGCGGAGGATCTACCAGCGTTAGACATGGGTGGTACATCTGATCCGTACGTCAAAGTCTACTTACTACCTGACAAAAAGAAGAAGTTCGAAACGAAAGTCCATCGGAAAACATTGAGTCCGGTATTCAACGAAACCTTTGTCTTCAAGGTAAATAGGCAACTCTATCAATAAACTACAAAGCACGAAATACATTAGAGTACCTAATATTTAATTTTCAATAATCCTCAGAATGTGCCGTACGCAGATGCAATGAATAAAACTCTCGTCTTCGCAATATTCGACTTCGATCGGTTTTCGAAACACGACCAAATCGGTGAGGTGAAGGTGCCCCTATGTCAAGTAGACCTGGCGCAGACCATTGAAGAATGGCGTGAGCTTCAAAGTGTTGAAGGCGAAGGGGGTCAGGTGCGGACATTAACACACTACCAACAAATGCCAACTTAACTTTACAAGTTGTGTGCAAAAAATAGTTGGTCCAATATCAGCACTAAAGCTACGGGACTACATTTAGTTATATCTACCTTACAAACATTATTGAATACTTTCTATACTTCCAATATAATAGTAAATTTAACTTATTTATCAGTAATATAGTGCTTTGTATCATAATTTTTATAGCTTTACTTTTCAGCATCCGACACTTCAACACTTGTGGTAACAAGCTTAACCACCATAGTTTAAAATACAAATAAATAGGCGTATAAATATCATTATTATCTTGTTTTTACGAATAGGATTTAGAATTAAATAAAAAACATGCAAACACAGAATTAATGGCATCATTAAAGATGTAATTTAATTCTTTGAATTGGGCCACCAACTAATATTTCTTGTTTTATAATGTTCATCTAACTTAAACTATCACACCAACATTATGGAATCGTTGCAAAAAGAATAGAAATTGGTAAAGTTAACAGCTCTGTTAACAGTTACACCCAGGTCACATCAACAACCATTTCTGATTACATGAAATATCTACTATGTTTCAACATCAATGCCATCAATGCACAAATTTAGAAATAAGGTTGCAAAAGAAACGGATACATATAAAGTATCGGTTGCAAAAGAAATTACTTTATTCTTTTTCTTAGCTTAGGCTAGACTGGCAAAACACACACATAACTATTACCTACTGACACATTTTACCAACATTTACCTACATACGAGTATTATTCACAGCGTAAAACTGATCTCATTCTAGATTTGTGTTTTGGCAGAACAGCATTATTTTTGTAAAGATATCATCCTTTTGAAAGACTCCCTTTTCATCTCACTTGCCTGATAGTACGCCAAGACGCTCTACGTTCAGCTATTATACCATTGCCGAATTTGGATTTTTACTCCTTTCGCCTTCTGAAAGGATGGTATACACATTTTTTAAAATTTTACTGCACTTTATTTAATAGAGGAACCTTGACCACGTAAATGTCTTATCTAAATCATGAAAACTTTGCCTCTGACTCTCTCTTTCATTGATTTATGATCACATAAGCAGCGTTATTCAATTTATAAAGCAGTCAAGGACCCTCAATATGGATTTATTCGTCATTTATTTTTCTGATAAAATTAATTTCGACAGCAAAAATGTATTTACTTGGTTTTTCTCTTTTTCTCCATATTTTCTCTGCTCGCTTGGCTGTGTTTGATTGTGTCCTGAACAATCTTGCATGCCGCTTCAAAAACGAAATGTTCATTCACGTAAGTATTATTTTGAGACACATCAAGATTTGATTGGTATATTATAAAATCACCACTTAAAAAAAACACAATGAAATTCCAATTCAAAATTTGTAAGAAAGTAAACAACAATTGTATACATAAATATAGGTTCGTAGGAAGGCAGGACGCATCTTTAGGACATATCCACGTCAATAAGTTGTTCACCTATACCTTTCATCACCTTCAATACCGATTCATACCATATAAATATATTTAGTTTTGTTTTATAACCATCCAACACTTATTTATTATTTGTTATACGGCTGGGGAATGATGCATGGATGTTTATTGTTATATTTGTTAATTCCCTGAATTGACATTATTGTGTTAGTTTCGCTTAAGAGTTGTAAAATAATACATGAATCTAAACAATAAAATGTCAAGTCAGTTTCGTGTTGATTAATCATAATGGTTATATGTTTATGATATCGCTTTAAAGCTTTACCGCTTTATCACAACTTGCGTGGTTCTCTAACTATTATTTAGTTCTCTTTAAAAATCTAAAACATTTCACAGAATAGTTAGAGAATCATATAAACAGCTCATAACAACAATCAGTCTTCGGCACTGCATAAACAAAACTCTATAAAACCCATACCGAAGCAATACATTGTACTTAATATTATTTTGGCACGCATAATGTGTCATAATAATTTCAAGTAATAATTATTTTGTGAACATTTTGATAATACAAAAATAACTAGTATGTTACAGGTAGTATTTGCAGTGAGGACACAGTGTACCGAGTTGGTACATTTCTGCTGCAACACGTAACAAATCATTTTGAATATTACTTACAATAATAATCTATTTTATAAAATACTATAACACGATTTATTAATCTGTAATAACATTTATTAAATAGATGGTACTCACACTTTCACATTTTTGTATTACGCAACTGAATATTTAACATACTAATGTGTCAGAAATCAGGTATTCTCTTTGGTTTTTAAAAATAGCGCCCCGTCTAAAATTTACTACTTATAAATTCAATTGCGTTGACCCTTATCCAAATAAAATATATAAAAAAACCTATCCAGAAAGTTCAAATATCTACATGCAACTAACTAAGAAACGTTTGAATTGTGTTTTATCAAAGTTTTGCCTCCAAATATATACGAGATACGAACTTTAAATAAACACAATTCAACTCAAATAATATAATATTGAGCTATATTTTCCACTACATCGCCTCAATGTTGTGCTGTATATTCGTTTAGATTGATATTTTTCAATGTCAACACTCATGGATGTGCCAATAGTCCTTAAAGCAACAAAAATAAAGAATTTATTATGAGAGTATGTGATATTATATTCGATAAATACAAATAACGTTCACTACTGACAAAATACTTTCTTTATTTTTGTTAAGTTTTCTTAACTGTTTATGTATGTGTATATGTGTACTGCTAGAATAGCCATAATTGCGATCTGTTCCTAAAATGGTTAGTCTTTTTTACAGAGTAGGAAACGTCTGATAAGGTAAACTTTATTTATTATACAATACACATTACTATTAGGTTAGGAGACCAGTAGGTTCAAAAGGTGAGCACAATATTTCCTCAATGATGATCTGAGCTGGGTGTTACGAAATTATATGATTGGCTTCATTTCGGCAACAGATCGTAATGACAACAATAAATCTATTTAAAAAAATATATTACCTATATATCTCAACGGAATTATGACTGCTTATTATTAGGTTTGACATGAACGTTGATGTACCCATTTTTATTTTTGTTTGTCTTATAGAATTGTTTTATATAACAAATATTATGTATCATGTTTAATTTCACGTTTTTTTAGATGAAATTATCTATGTGCTAAAACGTTATATGTAACGCAATGAACGTGTTCGTCAAATGTGCGTATGATTTAGATGCAAAATACATTCCGTTTGAGGCTAACTCAACTGTTTTGGGCTATGCGTCCTGAGCACGTTACGTCGGGGCAACGTTTCAATTCAAAAAGTATACACAAAAATAATAATTCCAAATTCAAAAATATTTAAACCTTCGAAATGGAACGCTGCCTCGCCAATCCAATGACCATAAATACGCTTTTAGGTAACTACACGGAGCTATTGTCTGTCATCTTTATTTATTTTTGTTACGTGTGACGAAATTTTAAGTGCCCTTACCCACCCTAAGCCGCGTTATTTATGGCCCATGTATTATTTCTATTCTATGTTTTATAAAAACGCTTTGAAACCCGATATCTGAACGCTATAGTATTCCTTTACACAGATTTTCCTCTTTGACCATGTACTTTTCACATCCAAATTAACTTTCCACCCTAGAAAATTGTCGGCACTTACGGGAATGTTATGTGGGGTCTTTAATAACATTCTAAATATTGAGAAATTTTCTTCCATTTAAAAAAGAAATCATAGTAGCCATTCGGGAACAAATACTGAATTGATTATTTCTTTCTGTGAAATATATTTCCAAATTCATTTTATAGCGATTAAAATAACAAAAGAATAAAATTAGATTAAACCACTCTTATATGTATTTCAGGATAACAAGCTGGGAGACATATGTTTCTCATTGCGATATGTACCAACTGCTGGAAAACTGACAGTTGTCATTTTGGAAGCGAAGAACTTGAAGAAAATGGACGTTGGCGGCCTATCAGGTGATCTCGTCTTCTTAAAACCACTAATATATAATCATGCTCGGTTACTAACAATGTGCTGATAACTATACAATCTAATTCCACAGGAGACAATGTAAATACTAACTTGTTTTATATATTGTAACAATAGTGGTGTGTATTTAACTTTTACACTATTTATCGATAGTTTTTCTATTTTTATAAATAACGCTTCTTTTTATTTTTTATTCACTATTCATTTAAAATATTGGTACACGCTAGAACAATCTAATAAGTAGGTTTTACATGCATTTCATAAATGGATATCACGTTATTTTTGTTTATGGATAATGAAAAGAATCAGTGGTACAAATCAAGACGATTCAATGCAAAGACAATTTAATCAGATGATCAATTATTCTTAATATTACATATTCATATTACCCAAGTTAATTTTTATATTTTTCTACAGGCATGTCATATGTAATCAAAGAAATTTAGTTCTGTATTCTAAAATATTTTTGTTAATTAATTATATTTTCTTAATTATTTTCATAATCGTAACGCAGTTTGATATAACTAAATTTAGTGTAAATTTAGTCAAGAGTATTAAAAAAGTTGTCTCTTATTAATAAAATATGACAAGTGAACAAAATATAACGTTTTATATCCATTTATAATCACATTTTGGAAAATTTGTATACTCATATCTACACACGAACCACTACTCACAAATGCCAATCATTTTATCACCAATTGAGCACATAACACAAGATATATAAATTATTTAATGTTTGTATTAGATACTTTTAATAGTGCTTGTTTGAATTAAGTAAGCAAATTTAATGAAAACAAAGTTATGCTTAGCGGCTATGGCAGTTTAGCGTATTTTAACTAAAGTGCCATCAACTACATGAAGTCCAAAGCTGTAAATCAAATGTACAGTAGTGTTACTGATTATAAAGTAGATTAGGATTAATAGCTATTACTAAATATTTTAACAAATCAGTATTTCGTTATGATAAATATCTAATACTTGTTTTGTTTTTTCCATATCTGACACCGACGCTGCATCGCAACAGATCCGTACGTAAAGATAGCACTCATGCAAAATGGCAAACGTCTCAAGAAGAAGAAAACGAGCATCAAGAAGTGTACACTGAATCCCTATTACAACGAGTCATTTACTTTTGAAGTACCATTCGAACAAATACAGGTGCGAGCCGAGATTGCAAAATTCGATGTCGTGGCACGCAGATCGGACAACATTTCGAATGAAATTAAAAAAGTTACCTATGCACGCAAAGGGATCGCATTGGTGCATTCGAAATTGTCTATTCTGCGTGCATTATTGATGTTGTGTATTAAGTGTTGTGGATATGGAAGAATTACACCACTTGCATCCGTGCCGATCCTTATATATCCCCATGTTTATATAGATTATTGTTTTATGTGTATGTTAAAATGTGATAGTATTTTTTTATTTTTCTATTGATTATTTTTTTTTTGTTTTTTTTTATGAGTTGGATTTGAATTCGACACAACTCAAAAAGGTTTAATGGTTTCTTATGTTATGGGTGTTTTAGATGTTAATTTATTTTACTAGGTTTTATGTCTTCGTTTGTATGTTATTGTGTTATATTGCTGACTTTATAGCTAGTGGCTAGTATTCTTAGTATTGAGTTGCTCCCGTCAGCTATCTCCCTCTTTTGTCTGTCTCTAACCTTCTATGATCAGTCCTTCATCCCTCTTTATATTACTAAAAGCCAAGCTACATAACTGTTTCGAGATGTTGACCTTTATTTGCAACTGGGTGTTACATTTGAAGGTTTTCATAACTCCTGAAATTGTTATTAGGAATGGCTCTTAAAAATATGAAGGGACACAAATTAAGTGGTGTTGTATAATCTCCCCTCGTAACTGCATTACAATTTGGTGACTTCAAATTGTAATTACTTATGGTTTAAGGAATCCAGTCCCTCGTACTTCTTCTGCGTCATGTCTCTTTTCATATTTTCACATTTTCCTTCTTTCGCCTCTGCTTTATCCCCCTAATGCGAAGTAAGTATTAAGATGTTTATGGTGAATAATGTAAAACTATGATATTTTTCTTAATTATATTTATATAGTCAACATTTAAATTATATTAGTATATGTATTTAATTTTATGAATTTTCACATTAATCTTTAAGCAGTCTACTCAATCGGTATAGCTTCTTTTAGTCAAGGGTAGCCTGGTAGATATTGCTACCTTACCAATAAGGCCGCCTTTTGCATCGATGTTTCTAATAATAATTGTTTTCATGTTTATTTTTTTATGGGCAATAAATTATATTCATTAATTCATTTAAATGCACGTGTAATACCGAATCGTTCGTTCGATTTTCTTAAGTATTGTTTAGGTAAAAAAAGATATAGACAGACAGAGTAAAAATGTACTACATACCTTAACCCTTTTGATTAAGTCAACTAAAGTCGGACTAATGAAAAAAAATGATATTCTTCAATACTCGCAATAGTTTAAAAAAGCAATACTACCAATAAACGCTATATCTACATTATCGAAAGTTTCATTAAAAATTTAGAAAATTTATTGAATAATCTGCATTGTTTCGATAAAGTCAAAGTCATAATATCTTTATTAAAATAAACTTATTTAGATTTGTTTTAAATCTTTTATCATATTTTTTCTACCACTTGTTCAGGACGTCTTTTGTTAGTAGTTAGTACTTGCTAGTGATCTTACTATACATGACAGATTCATAATATTATGTACTTGTATAGAGTTTTCTTACATAAGCAAAATATCATAGTTTTATATGGACTTTGGCAAGGCAATGCTAAATTCTATAATATATTTTAATTGTTTGAAAGAGAAAGCATGTTCCCCGCTGTTTTATAAGTATAAGAACAACATACAATTCATTACTAATTGATTAATAGATATAATGGAGACGAAAGAATATTAACTAATTTCGTCTACATAATACCTATTGGTCTAAACGGACTGTGTATAACACATTTCAATTATAAAGCATGATACATTACCATATCAAGACATTGACAATCGCACGTATGTTATTCGAAAGACATATGTACATGTCTTTCGAATTCACAATTAAAATAATATAATATATAATCTTACTAACTTAGGAACAGCATTATTCACATTCAGTAGCAAAATATATAAAAATATTGCGTATATATTTATTTAGATCGTACATTCCATCGTATGATCATAATTTAAAAAAAGTTTTAAATTTCACTTGATTTTATTAACATAACCAGTTCCAGATGTAGATACTTTACTTTCCAATACGATTGTGGACCAATTTCTTCAGTGGGAAATGCCCACTGTTGTTTGTTCCTTTAGTTACCGTAAACAAATCTTTTAGTCAAAACAAACTTCATAGAAATAGTATACCCTACCTACAACAACTAATTTTCAATAGATATCCCGCTGCGCTTTAATCATTATGCTGCTCGATAAGCTTATTCCTACAAAAATAAGCGTACCTACTTAATACCCCAGTTTTCTTGTTCCTTTTAGATCCTTTTTATGTAGCAAAGGCCGAGTTTTCCACATTAAATCCAATAAAATATCGAATACCTCTTATCCATCTCCATCGGCGCTATAAAAAACGCTAAAATTATTACTCCATTTTTATGGCACAAATGTATCCCATATTGTAAAACCTGCTTGAGAGCCTCTCTTTTAATTAATAATTAGAATTGACTTATTATCTTATCACCGTAGATAAATTTGTTGGATATATTTCCGGAACAAATATTCGTATTATTTTTTATGCATTCACAAATAAATGTTTTAATTTTCATCAGTACATTATCAATAATAAGGATATTGTATAAGTACTTTTAATCACAAATTGGTTTGTATTCGATGTTATGAAAACACATAACAAATAAGATAAGGAAATCTAAAAATAAACGCGCAGTTTTTAAAAATTCGTGAAGAAACCTCCGGGTTTTTCAAACATACCATACAAAGTGAAAGAAATATATCGAACAAATCTGTAGAGCCATTACTAATCTTAGTGCACATTTTACCTGTATCTTTTTATCATATCGCACTCCAGAAAGTGAATCTAGTGATAACGGTGGTGGACTACGATCGTATCGGGACATCGGAGCCAATCGGTAAAGTTGTGCTGGGCTACAACGCGTCAGGCACCGAGCTACGCCATTGGTCCGACATGCTGGCCAGCCCTCGGCGACCAATTGCGCAATGGCATACCCTCAAGGACCCCGATGATGGAGAGAAGAAAGATTAAGAAGGAGCCGAGGTAAAATCCGTCATAGTTAACATTAGCCGAATTTACCTACTTTATGATAGTAGTAACATGTAACTACTTAGTTTCATTCCACTTTCGCAATGTATTAGTTTCACGACACTAGTTTCGTGCGATGCGCATACTTATTTTTGACGAAACTATTTTCACTTAGCAAAACCATCTGCGCATAGTAAAGCGTAAAACTTCGTTGTTGAGGGAGCGAGTGTTAGTGCCAAGGGTAATAATGATAATAATTTTAATTGCACGCCCAAGGTTCCACCTATCGAGAAACAAAATTTGGGACTTTCAAGCGGTCATCAGAGTGCCTAGTTTGAGTTCCACTAACTAAGCAAATAACGTTACTACCGCGTCAGTTGAGTAAATGCCAAACGAATCAAATGGTGAAAACGTGCGAGTTTGAGTTACGGTCACGTAAACTGTTCAATTTGCGTTTGCTCGATCTGCAATTGCTCATAGTGAGAAGTGAACGTTTGTAATAAAACGACCGAATTCAAAACTGCGTTTATTTATTGCATCTACTGTAGAATCAGTTTTCTATTAATATTAACCGGGTTTTATCTCTTTTACATACCTTGTAATTTTAATTAAAGCATATAATAAAAATATATGTGCAAATATCCAACATTTTATATTAATACGAGTATTAATCAAAGAAATGAAAACATATGCAGAACAAATTAAATTCGCCATCGTTGTCATCAACCTATCATTTACCTAATTATTAGAACGCAACCTGACGTTATTATTGATAGACTACTTACATAGGGAAAATTCACTATACTTGCATATAGAAATTTTCACACAATTCACCGAAGTTCGTGAAAACAAATGACTCATGCTCGCGATATTCACGAAACGCATTCGCTTGCGAGCGTGAACCCGTCTTTACTTTCACTAGTGAGCGCGTTTAAAACTCAAACTCGCAAATAAGTTTAAGCCAGTGTGTCACTAGATGCCGCTTTTTAGTTTCCATACAAATTCTAAACACATTCGCTATCGACCATGAAACGTAAACGTCAAATAAAACTCAAACTAAGCAGTCAGGGCGCTTAGTGTACATTATTAAGATGTGGATTACATGGTGGCAGAACATGCGTTATATAACGTTGCGTTAGCGTTAGCAAAAATCGAGACAAAATTAATAAAAATCGGGACGCGGGACATCACTAAAATCGGGACTATATCAGAAAATTCGAGACGGCTGGCAAACCTATGCACGCCATTACTGAAGTATTTTCACATTTGCCAAAATTAGTTTCGTGAAACTTGTTTTTAGTTTCATGCAACTGCTTTAGTAATGTAAATTCGGCTAAAGTCCTTTTTCTTAGGTACTCTGAGAGAGCCTTTGTGGATTTATTTCTAGGCGCTGTTAGCGAGTCTAACCGCACTGCGATTAAACGCAAGTCTGATACCGCAAAATTAACTCATAACCTTCTATACAAATGTATATACATTAGCGAACAGAAAACGCGAGTTTTAGCGTTTCAGCCGTACCCAAACCGCGTGCTTACTACAGCAACAACAGTTTTAAGGTACCAGAGTGCATAGTTAAACAAATGTATTAACTAATTAATCCGAAAAACAAAGTTGAGTTTTAACTTCTTATTTTCTAATAATCTTTTTCAAATTTTTCTCAAGCGATGCTCTATAACGAATAGCGTTTTATTTAAATAAAGCCTTGTGATTCTGTAAAAATGTGAAGCAGAATTCGAAAAACCAGAATTGTGCAAAACACAATTGATACGTGTTTCAAACATTCTATTCCTATATCATTTTGAAACTCACTTCACTTAAGTTACGAAATGTTATTACCAATTCAAGGTGGAGCAGAAGCTCGAATAGAGTATGGATTTTTACAGAAACACAGCTGTGATCTTATTAGATCCCACTCTTATTTACAGAAAAAATAATATCCCCTTGGAACTGGGAGTGAGAGCGTGAAGAATATACGACCCTTATTTAACTAATTTACTTTATTAATAACATCTAAATGTAAATTTAGATCTATTGCTTTTGAATATTTGTTTCTGTAAACACTATTTGAATATTGTGATATATGTTACAACCTTTCCGTCAGTAGGTGTTAAGTGAAATTTTCATTACTTTATCAAAGCTACTGAATTAAGAAAAAGTTTTAGTTAGACTAATTTATGCTGTTATCATTGATAAGCATTTATTTTAACTTAGATAACCATAATCTGTTTTATATTTCTAATGAAACTAGTTGTTTCTTTCACCTCGATCTACTATCAATACTCTTACCTTGCTATATTTAAATAGTTGTGAGGTTCGTTTGGCAATATAGAACGTGTTGTGAGATGTAGAAGTAAAGCTCTGCTAGATTTTCTTTGCTACCTCCTCGGCTAATAAGTCGATTGCGTATAATTCATTTCAGAGTTAACGATACCGCTTTTTAAACATAAATCACTTGGGCTTTGTTGAAAAATGATAACATGTTATGATTACCTAACTAAATATTTTATCTAGAAAGCGTTTACTATAATCAATGTACGAAAATATAATTTAATATATATTGACACCTTAATATCTAAACGCTATGTAAATAAGTTGGATCCTGTTAAAATTATTACATTCTATTTTACTAAAATGTAAGTGTTATAGTATTGATACCCTTTTATTGTATAAAACCAGTTCCTTTAAAGAAGAGAAATTGTCCTAACGTAGATATTTATATGAAAATATATTTAGATGTATGAATTGTCTTGCAACCTTAGTTATTTATCAGATGAATAAATTTCTCTTCTTACGAGGAACAAGAGGCCTATCATATAGGTACCTAATATTTATTATTTTAGGACATGACATTATTTTATAATTATCAAGCTATACTCGGGGCTAGTTTTTCAAACATCAGATAAATTAATCAAATATACATTTATCAAATGAAATGGTCCTTTTACATAAATAAACCAAAGGAAAGACGGTATTAATATATTTGTCTGGGGCTTGAAAAATCAGTATGTTAATGAAATATGGTTTAAGAGATTTATCATCCATCAAAAGTTTAATTTAAACGTTTTTGGTACACGAAATCATCAATTTCACTTGTAATACATCTGATGTTGGGATATCAACAAAATAAATTGAAAAATGGACCTTTTAACAACTACGCGGTATCATCGAATCTAGTCAAATAAAATTATATCTATTAGTACTTTTAGTGTCCAAGTATATCTTCAGATGGCAGGTGTTAGACACTTTCAACTTAACACGAAATACGTGTCTACAATAAACGCACGTTTTAAGACTTGCCGTCTGAATATGAAAAGCTAATGATTGGACTGCATGTATCATTAAAAATACCTAAAGTAAATTTTATTTAACTGATTGGTCTATTTAGGTATATAAACCTAAAATTATTTCTAATTTGAATGTGAAATTTATTATTATTTAAAGTATATATATATTATAGAACTACCTACATACATCTTAGCTAAAGCTTTACTGTTGTTGATCTCAACTATATGTTAATGTGTATATAATGTAATCACATGTTAAATTTCACGATCACTTTATATCTACGTATAGTATTATCGGGCGGGCTTCAGAACATTAGCAGTGCACTATCACGAAACAAGTAGGTATAGACTTGTGGTTCAAGTACTGTATTTAACAATAAATTAATAATAATTACTATAAATGTAACATAGAACGTATTTATTAGTAAAATTGCAACAGATTCATAGCTAGGTAGTTTAGACGCGAAGTTAAAATAAGTTATTTAATTGCACATAAATACGTAAATAAAAATATTACTTAGGTACTAATAATGCCTAAATATCAACAAGAAATTAAAAACTCATTAAACTGACTCTTTAAAATAACATCTGCGATACTTTTTACAAACAACGCTATGATAAAGTAATATAGAGTAACATATTTCAGTTGTACAAAGACAAATTTTCTAACAAAGTTCATAGTGTAGTTAATTTTGTAGATTGCCCTAGGAGCCTATGAATCTGTTGGAAAGCACGTCTCAAACTTTGTACCCTAGTTCGCGAAACGCGAGCGATGAGCCTGCGAGGGCCTCGATAGGATGACAATATAGACATTCCACATGCTATTTAATATTTTTTATAATTTTAAGAACAAACGAAGTATGTGAATAATCGCTAGAAAACTAAATAAATATATATATAAATAATTGAATCTACGATTTGTAAAAGCTCCCGTCTTTCTTAAAGTAAATGAATAGCCATTAAAATTACAGAACGAGTGTTTTAACTGATATTTTTCACCAGACTATTCAAAACCGTTTCAATATGTTTAATTTTAATTAAAAAAATGCTACTTAGTGAATTTTTACCCAAATAAATAAAATATTAGTTAAAACATTCAACAAATTAGTGATAAACATAGTTGAGACTAGTGATCAGCCTCGTAACAAGATTCCATGTTAACCACTCTTAATTTTTAAAAATAAAAACATCGATAACGTTTTTAAAAACGTTATTTAGCGCTTTTATTGTAACAACCATTATTTAGTGCCGTGATTCCGGTTAAATTTCAAGTATAATGCTAATAAACCAAATAACGTTACGAGACGATCACAACGACCAACACGCCTCGTGTTCTATACGTATTTAAAGTTTGTATTGACGTGTTGAGCTGTTGTATTGAATGCTGTTTGTTAAACTTTGAAGTTCGCTGAATTTAATAAGTGCAGAATAAAAAACAATATCCAAATCTTTAATTTTAATACATTCACACTAAAACAAATCAGGGTTTATCTTAACTACGTTGCCCAGTTATTGCACATCTATATTATAATGTAGATTTTTTTCGTTAATATTGTTACTGTAGACCTTATCATGTATATATCTTTAAAGTTTACTATATATACATATATCTTAATAAATGTCATATCACTCTTCACTTGAATAAAAATCATTGTCCTATAAAATTTATGTTCAAATTTATTTTATTTATTATAAAAAAAGTTTTTTTAATCAGATTATTTACTTAGAGTTTATAATAGTAATGAATTATGTAAACTATGAAGAATGTCTATAATACATAATTACATAGATGTTGTTGTTTTATTTAAAAAAAATGTATAGGTAAAAAAGCATGGCAAGTAATATTCATAACATGCGGTAACGATCAGCAGAACGACCATCTACCTCCTCTAGAAATAACTCTTGTCGTAGGATGCGAAATCTTAGCGATGTTATAGCGCTATATATATATATATTACACTTTGACGTGTACTTTAATCACGAAGAACTAATAATAAAGAATGATGAATATAGATTTCATAGCAGCAGTGTTTCGAACTTAGTCTATCCTAAAGGACAATGGGCAAATTCGTATGGGGCTTGTCCCATTGGCAGCCATTAAAGAACTATTTATTTTTTGTTACATAAATATGTACAGAATAAAAATATAATAGCTTATCATTGCAGGCCATTTGAGAAAAAAGTTATTGCGAATAAGATATAACAGGCGAATGTAGTAAAAAAGTTGAATATTACTGTGCAACGTGCGTTTAAGCATTTATCATTAATAAAATGAATGTCATTTATTGTAATATGTTATATTGCATATAGGTTTTGATTGTAGGATGAGTAAGACAAAATGTAATCATGAAAAATATTTATTTTTAAACATCGTCAACAATTACATCATTTAGAAAATCGGCAGGCAAAGCAATATCGTGATCTTGGTTTCTAGCCCACCCTAAATACCACACAACACACATGACGTGGGTGCAGCAACCCAGTGTCCGCTTACCACTGAGGCAACTACAGTAATAATTATCCAGAGCATGTTAACCATTTCTTTCCATGTCAACTAGAATATAAGAATAATATATTTTGGACCTCACATGTCTTGATTGTATGCGGCAGCGCAGAAGCCAAACTTCTGCAGATGTAATTCCGTATTCGGTTAGGCCTGCTGTACCTTGATCTCTGTACACCTCTATGTTAAACAAGCCTTGTCGAACATGCTCTGCGTAATAACTGCGTGCCAGTTTGACTTGGTATGTGCCGAGCGCGAATATCACTAGATCTTCTTCGGTCAACGTCGGGAAGTCACTTAAATTCGGATGATTTCCTGTGATGCTGTCAAAGGTAGCTCGTCGGCGATTTAAATTATTTGTCACGACATATTCCGAAAGGATGTTTGGTTGGTTTAAACGCTCATTAATTATATTAACAAATGTCTCGGCGTGTACACTATCTTCTAGTGGTACCCGGTATGCATTGAGTAGTGCAGCTGCTATTTTAAAATCTTTCATCATATGCAGCAGTGCTCTGTTAAAAAAATCTTGTCTGAACAGTTTGAAATCACGTTTGAACCAACCGTTAATAACTTCCACGACCCACCGACATATAGTAACCAACCTAGTTTTATTAGCTTGTTCGGTTGTTAATTGGTCCTCATTCCTGTTTTTTGTTTTTGGCATATGAGCCTCATAGCCGTAAGCTTCGAGATCGTCTATGACATCACGGAATCCTCGATCTAAGACGAATACATCTCCCTGTTCGAAGAACCAGTGGAAACCATCGTCTACTTTTTCTATCATATTTTTCATGATCCTTCCGCCCGACTCGGTGGCTGCATAGGGTCCAAATACATCTATGATATGTCCATCGCAGCAAACCATAATAAATGCCTTCAACAAGTTGGTGAATTTATGTAGACTGTATGATTGTCTTTGGAATAAATAATTAGAAGATTTTTGAATATAAAAATACGTAGCGTCACATATCACCACTGGTTTTCTTTCTTCTGATCCAGGGCTGCCGAAGATACTGTTAGGAACTAAGAGGTTCCTTTGAGCTACCTCTCTCCTACTTATGTGATTGTAGCCCAAATGTCGGGGTACAAATTCTGAGTACAGGCACTCTCGAGCTGCATTGAGGTGCCTTTCAAAGGTTCGTCGACTCACATTAAAAAGAGCCGCCAGTCGTTCGTTTGTTTCACCGCTTCGTAGCTTCATTAGAAAACCAGCCAACGCTAACTTTGGACGAGTTGATTCATTTGACAATGAAGGCGTTAGTTGTAGTATCTCCATAAATTGTTCACGACTAATACCAGTTCTAATATATACTTCATTGTCGTGCATTTCTTCTATCCGATTAAAGTCTATTATTGATCCTCGAAGCGCTGCAGTCTTCATCAAGTTCATCATGTGCACAAAATGGGTAGCATTAAAATCGTGGAGCAAGTTCGGACTGTCAATTACTTGGTCCCAGTCATTGGACTCTATACGATGAGCGCATACCCTTGCGCTATCGGGTATGTAGAAATTAAAATGTATCAAAAAGGTTATTTTGACATTATCCGGGATTCGACGCAGTGTTGATCTGCAGCAGTTCTCAAACAAACAATATGTAGCCGTATTTGGGACCCTCGAATATTCTTCTATTTGTAATGCACATTCGTGCGGCCGTTGATGATGCTGAGTTTCTGCTCGTTGCCAGCATGGCCGACAGATGAATTCTTGCTCGTTGAACTGCAGCTGGAAAAAAATCCACTTTTAGAGCATTGCCATAGGCACAAGCTTCGATATGGCGACTCGTAAAAAACAATATGACCGGTTCGATGACGCATTTGGTAGTGACTCTGTCCTTTGCCGACCTCCGTAGCCGAGAGGCGTACATATCGGTTTTCAAGGTGACGCTTTCTCAGAGGTCCCGGGTTCGATATTATTATTATTATTTGCGCCAGGGGTCGCAGGTTCGGTTCCCACCCAGGACAAACACATGTGTTTATTCATTTTGTAATACTAACCTGGTGTTCAGGAGCCATAGCCTCAATAATATATTGGGCTATCGAAGGGTTCGCTTCAAACAGAGCATGTGTTATTTCAAATCTTCTTCTGTTTATAACAGAGCGATTGCACAAAACACATAGACGACGATTATCTGCCATGGTTCACAAAATCCAATTCACAAAGCTTACAAAATCCAGAAACAAGCACAGGTCAACAAAGTGAGATGAAACAAGTCCGGTAGGCAAGCTAGAGTCGAATTAGATTTGAAAACTGGGTACGTAAATCGCACAGTACACAACGAAACAAGCTTAAACGTAGGACTGCAACGGTCGCAGACTTTCATCACCTGACCACATCATGATGAGCTCGTCGCTGATTGGTCAGGGCCGCCGGCGTTAAGTGCGCTCGTCGCTGATTGGTTAGTCGTTTCTACCTGTTTAAACCCCACATGCAAGCGGCGTGCGCATGATTTTCTAAACAGGTAGAAATAAGTAACAATGTTTAGTAATTAAGGTAATCACTATTTTAGGATATGTATGTAAGGATATGTACAAAATATGAATATATAAGCACTAGGATGTAAGTACCTTTTTTCTCAAATGGAATAAAGGTGTACTTTCTTAACCAAAGTTGTTCTTTATTAGCCCCCCTTTCGATTGATACCACTTTCATTACTGGCTGCTAAAGGGACAGAACGCCCATTGTCCTTTATCCGTTGAAGTAGTTAAATAAAATGAAATATTGTCATATATTCGCTAATATATATCTTATGACTAGAGAGCTAAGAACATGTAAGGACCATGATTAATGTGTAATGATTATGAAGCAGCCAGTGATGCCAGCTAATAATAACTATGCGCCAACTAAAAGAAGGCATTTGAGGAAAAGGACATGTAGCGGTTCAGAAGAAGCCGAGAAAGTACGCCCATTCAAAAAATATATCATAATTTGCTGATACAATATTAATACGTAGGTATTTATGTTTTCCGATAAATCGGTTAGGTATTTTCTAAGAATGTAATTTATAATGAGGAAGTATTTGAAAAAAAAATGAAAGCACTAAAAAGCACCTCCACTAGATGGGTACTCCAGTAAAAGTTGATTTTTGCAGGAAACGAATGGACCAAAGATAGTCATTTCTGTTCCTTTTAACTAACATATTAAAAAACTGAAATTTAAAAAGTTCGAAACTTAGATATCCATACAAATACGAAAAACTACCAATAGATTGAAAACTAATTTACTTTTAAACTTGAAAGCAAACCGGATAAGTTTTCATGGAGAAATCAAGAAAGTACCGTAGCGACATCTAGTTTGATTTCGGAAACTAATGTTTTTTTTTAAATACTTCCTCCTTGAATCGCTTATTCAGCGCAATCTATACGCCTACATTATGGGACAAATCAAATGCAATGACCAATTCTTAAATTCTTAATGATAAATACTTAAAAACCACGTTGTCGCCGACACTGAGATGGGACTCGAACCTTTCGAGACTGCTCTAACCACTGATCTACCCAGGACCTAACAAGACTGACAAATTTTTCAAACACTTGTTACATTTTCACTACTACAGAGCACATTTCCATCAATGTACAGGCAATCTACAAAAGAAATATTTTTACAAATATTTTAACTTTCGATAAAGATGAAAATTTCGTACTAATGTTCAAAGTACAAAAGTATTTCACAAAATCAGTTTACAATGCCATGCCGCCCTCCAAATAGGCGTTCGCCTAAGGTAAGGACGGGCCTTGACTACAACAGATTCCATCTTGGCCGATTTTTATTGTTAATGAATTCAATAATTTTGACTTATATACACAAGCATTCGAAATGGGTATATCATTCGACTTTATTATGGCCACGCAATAAAAGATTTTTGCAAAAGTTAGTTAAGAGAAATACCTAAAGATTACACTATCTGGTATCAAAGGTTAAAAGAAAATAGTATATATGTTAATGCTTATTTATAAATTTAATTAAAAGTTTACATTTTAATGTAAGAAATTTCATTTGTATCCTAATTATAATTTATTTATTTATTAAGATGTACAAAACAGGTGACAACCGGGTGAAAATACAAATTAAAAGTATGTTTTACAGTTATCAAGGTTGTGACCCTTCACACTGCAAACACAAATTAAACAAAAACATACATTAATATACTTAAATAACTTACATTCTTTATAACTATAATTTTGAATTTTGAATAACATCGCTAATACAATGATGAAAAATTATTTTATTAATTTTACTTACATGTAAAATCATCACATCACAGATTTTTTTCTCTAGAATGTGATTACAAATAAAATCACTAAAGAGTTAGAACAACAAATCTAGAAATAAACTAAAATATCTAACAATTTGACACAGAACTTATTTATCTACTTATAAAGATATCAGTCAACTTGACTCTCAATACGTAGATATTATATCATCAGGTTCTACAATTTTATAAAAATATTGATGATTTTTTATACTTATTTTAACATGGTTACGAAACCAGATTAAGTTATTATGAAAAAGATAGTAAAAATTATATAACAATCTATATGTAACAATTTAAAATTGTTCATAATATTCTTTTAGTTACTATAAATTACGACTTGGACTTTTGAAATTCTGCTTAAAAATAAGACTTTCATCTGTTATACTATAAATTACAGTTATTCATATTTCTATAAATTTTAAACTCACATTGCTGAAAAAACAACTAATGTTTTGAAAATATTTTGATAAACAACATATTTAATGCAATAAATATAGTAAAATTTTTATAATGTACACATTTTATATCATTGTTAAATCAATATCAATACTTACATGAGCAACTTACATAGTTTACATTTGTTATTGGTCATTATATTCATTTAAATTGATTACAACATATAGTTTTGTATTACTAAGGAGTAGTTAAAAGATCAGAATTCATTTTCTGTGCTATAACTACTTATTAAAGTAACGAAAATATATGTCGGATTTAACAATTTATTGATAACATGTTGTAGTTTTAATGATTAATCCAAGAATCTGATTTGCATAACTTTTAGAACAATTACTTTAGCAGTTTTGTGATACAATAACAAGGAAAAAAAATAGAATGATTACTTATTTTTATTAATATTACCAAAAATCAATACATAACAAAGGCACTATTTGCATTTCTAAGTGTGCTTAATTATTTTAAAGTGTTTAATATAGATCCTGTCACTGATTCCTGTTTTCTTTACAAATGGCCCTAGTTTTCTTAAGTATTCCTGATTCAAACTTGAACCAAAATGAATAAAATATATATAAAAGTACCGATTACAAAATATATAAATTTTACCTCAGGAGCTATCATCGTAATATCTCCTTTTCATTGTTCTATATTTCTTCAATTTATACAAGGCCTCAATTTCTTTGGCAACAAACTCCCCATGTTTTATCATTATTTTAATTTTTTCTGGATCTGTTTCTTCGCTGTTTTTAGTAAAAACTTTATGTAATCTTTTTCTAAACAAGTCATAACCTTGAGGCCACTCTCTACCAAGAAACAGCAACTGTAATGATAAGAAATTAATAATAAAACAGTTTGTAAATTTGAGACACTTAAAGTTTTATTAATCACTGTATTACCGATTTATAAAGATTAAGCACAGCTTTTCTATACGGCTGCTCCATAATTTACAAACAACAATAATTTGTATTTTGTGATTTCGAGAAATTTCAGAATTCAAAAGTTCATAGTCCAAAAGTTCTTGCTGTACTTTAAACACCAAAATGACAGCAAATACACATCATATCAAAACTTCTTCTTCTTCTTTTTTAATTCATGGCCTATTTGCATTTACACAATTCCGCCAATGTCACGTTTGTGGTCTTTACACGTATAGAAACAATAATAAAATATGTAAAATTTTGAATTTAAATAAAATAAAAAAAAAAGCTCTGAGCGCGTCTATCTGATTACATTGTTAAAGATAATACAAATAGAATGTATATAGAAAACAAATATATTTATAAATTAAGATTATTATTGATTGCAAAGAATTTTGCTAAAATTTTGAATGGGCTGGGATTCTCCATACTCAAGATACATTTTATATTTGTTGGACGTGGAACTTTTGATGGTAGCAAATCATAAAGCGAAATGGATAAATTTGAACAATTAAATAAAATATGATCCGTAGTTCCTTCCTCAATGCCACAATCGCAGAGGGGGTTGTCTTTAATTTTAAATTTGGCAAGTCGAACCGGCGTACACACATGTCCAATTCTCAGGCGACAAATAATTGAAATCGTTTTTTTACTTAAAAGCTTTTCCTTAAAGAACCAGGGAGTACTGGGGATAGTTCTCTGAATTTCAAAATAATACTTTCCCGCTCTATTTCTAGTATTTTCCCAATCAACATTCCATGACCTCATTAAATGTTCATGTGCTAGTACAAAGAGATCGTGATGAAAAAGTTTGGAATATTTTAAAGAGCCAGTTATAACAGCTTGCTTAGCACATGCATCAGCTGTCTCGTTCCCAGGAATACCACAGTGTCCCGGTATCCATGCGAGGGTAATGAGCAGCTTCTTAAGATGGCACCTATGCAATGCTTGTCTTATTTTAAATATTATTGGAAATTTATTTTTAGAACGAAACGGATGTGATATTATAGACTGTAAGCAACTCTGTGAATCTGTGAAAATGATAGTTTTGTTAAAGTTATGAGATTCGGCAAATAGGATGGCCTCAAGGAGAGCTAAAGCTTCTCCTGTAAATACAGAAGAGAGAGAGGGAATTTTGAAACTTAATACTAATCTGTGAGCGGGAATCCATACTGCTGATCCAACTGGATCATTAACATGCTGCTTGGACGCATCAGTGTACATAGAAATCCAGCCTTTATATTCCGATGCTAATTTCCGTGCCATTGTACGCATGGCATATGGAGAGTCTTTGTCGATCCCAAAATCAAGAAGAATGATCGGCTCAAAAATAAGTGATTCAAAACTATTTTCAAAAAGAGGAAGACGAGAATACCGTTCTATGGGAAGGGAAGGAGTATGGAATTTTTTGTAGCTATGGAGGATACAAGAGACACCTACCGATGAACTGGAGGAAGTACTAGAAACTTTCAACAATATTTCTAATTTTTTAAGTAAAGGATGGGATGCACGTTGTATAACTTTAAGGAAAAATCGATCACTCAAAAATTGCCTACGCAGATACAAAGGGGGATCAACGCATTCGATCTGGAGACTATTGATAGGAGACGATTTCATGGCACCTATAATAATCCGCAAGCATTTTGATTGAACTTTAGAAATTTTATCAAGTGGCAACTTATTACATGGGTCTAAAAGAAAGGAACCATAATCGAAATGACAAAACAATATTTTCGTAACTGACAGTGACATTGACATGTTATTGTTCTCATTAGACCAGTGGGTAGACTTACAAAAATAATCGTTATTTAAAATATAGTTATATTTCATGAAAGAATCGATATACACGGCGACATTTAATAAAGATTCTTATATAATAAGGAAGTTTCATGTCATCATCATCATCAGCCTTAAGACGCCCACTGCTGAGCATAGGCCTCCCCCATAAATTTCCATGATGATCGGTCCTGTGCAGCCCGCATCTAACGGCTTCCCGCAACCTTTATAAGATCGTCGGTCCACCTGGTGGGGGGCCTACCCACTGAGCGCCATCAGGTACGTGGTCGCCATTCCAGAATTCTTCTGCCCCAACGGCCATCAATTCTTCTCGCTATGTGTCCCGCCCACTGCCATTTCAGCTGAGCAATTCTTTGAGCAATGTCAGTAACGTTAGTTCTCCTACGGATTTCCTAATTGTGAATTCGATCACGTAGAGAGATACCAAGCATTGCAAGCATTGCATTGCAAGCAGGCAATGGAGAGAGCTCCATTGCCTGCTGGGTGACCTTGAGCCTTCTTATGAGACCCATAGTGAACGACCACGTTTCGCTTCCGTGAGTCATCACTGGCAACACACACTGATTAAAGACCTTGGTCTTGAGACACTGTGGTAATTTGGACGCGAAGATTTTTTGTAGCTTCCCGAACGCTGCCCACCCGAGCTGAATTCGACGAGAGATCTCTTTCTCAAAGTTGGACTTGCCTAGTTGGACTGTCTGTCCCTAGGTACACATAACGGTCGACAACTTCAAGAGTAGTATTCCCAATTTTAACTGAAGTGGGTACAACATGGACATTTGACATGATTTTCGTCTTATCCATGTTCATCTTAAGACCCACTCTTTGAGATAAACTACTGAGATCTTCAAGCATATTGTTCAGGTCTTCCAAGGTCTCAGCCATTAGGACTACATCATCAGCAAAGCATAGGTGTGTAAGATACTCACCATTAATATTGATGCCATATCCTTTCCAATCCAGAAGCTTGAAAATATCCTCTAACGCAGCGGTGAATAGCTTTGGAGAGATAACGTCTCCCTGCCGTACGCCTCGCTGCAATTGAATAGGATTAGAGTTCTGGTTTTGTAATCGGACTGACATAGTAGCATTCTTATACAGACACTTTAGTGCTTCGATGTACCTATAGTCCACTTGGCACCTTTGGAGAGACTGCATCACCGCCCATGTCTCGATCGAATCAAAGGCTTTCTCGTAGTCCACAAACGCCAAGCAGAGTGGCCGGTTATACTCTTCGGACTTCTGTATAACTTGGCGCAGCGTATGAATATGGCCCACGGTACTATAGCCTTTTCGGAATCCAGCTTGTTCGGGAGGTTGGAAGTTGTCGAGCCCGCGAGTGAGACGATTCGTAATGAGCATTGAGAACAACTTATAAACGTGGCTCAAAAGCAAGATCATGATGTTGATAGTATTATATTTAACAGTATAATACGATAAAATTATAGGTAAAGCTGTTAATAAATGACCAAGTTATAGATTATTTAAAATTGCGTTTTTTCACACAGAACGTCTGTGGCCTCCGACTCACCTGTGACGTCACAGGACGAACTCAAGATTGTTGTACTACAAATGAAAAAGAACTCTTTGCAAATCATTTATTTTCTATTTACTAGATGCTTTGACATTGTTTTGAAGTTATTAATGGTTTTTTTTTTGTTTTTTTTTTGTTTGTAGTTTATTTTATATTTCTTTAGTAATAAAAAGTAAAGACAAAACTGTATATATTTTCTAAACTACAATTGGTAGACATTTAGTACTTTTAATGTGAATTAAACATGTTTGATACCAATCAGTATAAAAAACGGGCAACTGCGAGTCAGATTCGACCAAGGATCCCGTAGAAATATTAAATTTCAATACCTACCTTAGAACCTATCCAAAATATCTACTTACAATTAAGTCCCAAACCACGGGGCCAATTCTACAAAATAAATTTTGTTTAAATCGAATTGAAAACGAACGAAACTACAGTTTTTAATGGTTTTTCTATTCTACAAAGTGACATACGATACAATTCCAGCTAAAATAGAACTGGAATAGAACTGGTTTTGATCCGTTTTCGATTCGATTTAAACAAAATTTATTTAGTAGAATTGGCCCCCAGGTCTCTCCAAACACTCCGCCTTGAAAAGGGCAGGTTGAGTATGCTGCCCTACCTGGTAAAATCCGCTCCGATTCACTTAACAGGGATGAATGAATCCGTTATCCTGCAAGGAGAATCCAGTTGTTTCAAGATACCTACTCAGAATAGAATATAGATAATGTAGGTAAAAAACGCCAAATACGTACAAACCACTAGTGCAAATATGTTATCGTCCTTATTCTTTAACTTTGGGATTGGTCCAATACTATTTGTATTTTTCATTGTTTAGTTACAAAGTTGGTATTGGAGTCAGTATGTGGTGTTGGTAGCAGTTGGGTACAATATTGGCCCCTTCAAATTGGAGCCAATTATTACCTATAGAGAAATAAAATATCTGAGAAAGTGGTTGGTAGTTGCTAGGCAACAAAGATGGTTGTTTATACTTACATCGAAAGTTGATCGGAACTACTAAGAATAAAGTTAAAAGAAAATACGTAAAGAAGTGAAAACAAATTAATAATCTCATTATTATTTATTTTTATTAATTATAAGACTGCATATTTATAATAGTAGATCTAGAATTAAGATTCTTAACAACGAGACTATAATGGCGGATGCAGATCAAATTCCATTAGAAGGTAAGAATACTGAAACCTTTACCAAACTGGAAACTATTTTTTAAATTAACTACTACCTACAAACTATTTTTTAATTAACAACATACAAAAATTAAATGCATAATAGAAAAATCTCAAGTAAAAAATTGATAGTTACCTAGTTTTGATTCGGAATATTGTTGATATTAATATATAACTTATTGTGTCAACTTGGTAAGCAGCCGTGATCGTGGTGGTATTGTGATACAGTATCCTACCTAACACTCTCGCTATCACTCTAGCGATGATAAAAAAAATCCACTTAATAATAACATAGTAGTTGATCATATTAATAACGTTCTTATACGAGGGTCAAACTGAAAGTTCTTAGAAAATCAAAAACTGATTACATTAGCCAGTTATTAGTTTTATTATATCTTTTCAAAATATTGTCCATTCACGTCAATACACCGCTGCATGCGATGGAACCACTGGGAAAAGCACTTTGCCCACTCGTCCTTAGGGGTCTCTTCAATGGCATCGCGATACGCAGCCACCGCTTCTTCAGCATTCATAAACCGCTTTCCTTTAAGTTTTTCTTTAATTTTTGGAAATAAATAAAAATCACAAGGCGCGAGGTCGGGGCTATACGGCGGGTGACCCAGTAATTCAACGTTTGATGTCGCCAAATAGTCGATCGTTCGCTTGGCGGTGTGCGACGAGGCGTTGTCGTGGTGAAGGAGGATCCTACTGCGAGGTCGTTTCTCTCGAACTTTTTCCAAGACAAGTGGCAAACAATTGGTAGTGTACCATTCTGCAGAAACTGTTTTTTGATCCTCTAACACAATTGTTGCAAAATGACCTATCCTTCCAAAGAACGAGGCCACCATTTTTTTTCCCGCACTTCGATCTCTCTTCACTTTAGTTGGCAACTCCTCGAAAGGAAACACCCACTGAGCAGATTGTCTTTTGGTTTTAGGATCATAAGTAAATCCAGCTTTCGTCACCTGTTAGTATGTCGAACACAGCATTTGAGTCACCTCCGTTAAATCTTTCAATCATTTTACGACACCAATCCACACGATGGAGTTTTTGAGCCTCAGTCAAATTATGAGGTATCCACCGGGCGCAAAGCTTCCTGACCGCTAAATGTTCGTGGAGGATTTTGTGCACTTGACTCATACCGATGCCTAAGCTTGTCCGAATCTGTTGATAGGTCACTCTTTTGTCAGTCTCTATCATACGCCGCACAACACAGATGTTATCTTCAGTCGTCGCCGTAGAAGGCCGTCCCTCACGTAAATCATCAGTGAGATTAGTGCGACCACGTTTTAACTCATTAAACCAGTTGTAAACAGTCGCACGAGATGGGGCTTCATCGTGAAAGGCCAATCGTAGTCTATCATAACTTTCTTGTTGACTTAAATGACATCGAAAGTCATAAAAAATCATTGCACGAAAATTTTCTCGTGTTAAATTCATGATGACGTGACGCAGACAATTTTCAATTTGCCGCCAAATCGTAAAACAAATGACAAATGAATGAAATATATACTCAGTAATATTGGCAAAGAGTTATATTTTCAAATTTTAGAATTATTTTTTTATTATATTGTTTATAAGTGGCCAGTTCTAAGAACTTTCAGTTTGACCCTCGTACTTATGGCTAGAGTTAAGAGAATTTAAGAGAATTAGAATTAAGTTAAGAGATTAATTAAGTTAAGAGAATTAGACGGTTGATAATCTGAAATTGTTAATAAAGAAAATCATATAATAGGAGAGGAAGAAGAAGAAGAAGAGACACCTGAACCGATACCAGAAGAGGTGGAAGAGGAACATGTTGAAGAGGAATCAATCCTCACAGAATACGACCCTGACGATTATGTGTCTGGCGCCGTTAACACTTTGGATTCGACCATACCGCTAGACTTATTTGATTTTGAGTATCCTTTGCGAAACTGTACCGAGTCTTTATTTAAAAAACCGGACAAGAAGTCGAATTTGCGCACAGAGAGTTCCGAACAAATATTAAATTTTAAAAAGCTTGGACTTACCGTTTACAATAAAGATAATTCGTTTTTTTTTTCAAAATTATAGGATCAGTAGTTTTGAAGATCAATGTTACATTGACGTCTATTTTCTTGAGTCATTTGAAAAATACGGAAATTTGTAATCAGCACATTTTTTTCATATAACTTAGTAGGTATCATTATTAGAGAATATTTACGAAGATTTTTTATTTTTGACAAAATAGAAAACTCTACTCCAGATTTCAGGTAAGACTATGTAAAACACACGTTTCACATTTAAGAATATCGAAAATTTAAAAATTCCTTAATATTTAAATAAGTTATTCATATGGGTACAATTGTCACAAGTATTTCAACTTGTGCGCATGTGATGACACGGTGGTCTGCTGGGCGGCTGGTAGCCTCGTAACATTCATGGACGCTATCACTAAACAAACATGGTTCAGAAGAACCACTACTGGAGGCTCCGTTGGACATATTACCGTATTATAGTTAAAATTAATTACGATATAAAAAAAACAGTTATAGAATCAATTCGCCAAACAATTTTAGATTACAAAAACTTATAGTTAGGATGAAATTATTAAATTATAAATAAGTGTTTAAATTTTTATATTTAAATTTAAATAAATAATATTTAATTTTTTATATAATTAAAATAAAATCCATATTCTTATAGGTTTATTATTATGTTCTTTTGAAAAGTGTTATATGTTTTCAGTCCTATAGGAAAGATCCAAACTACCGCATAGCAATCGCTGAAGGAAGAGAAGGCGATCGCGACCCCGTAATATTACTTTACACTTGGCCTCAAATGGAAATGGATGCAGTACTCCGAGATGGCACAAGTAACGCGTACTCTATTCTTGATTTCAGGTAACTTATATTTACTTACTATGAACCTGTGATGACAACAACAAACTCAAAAGAAACATTGATTTAAACTTAATACCTTACAGCCCGGACGGCGAACTTCTCGCATCTGTTGGCAAAGAACCTGACTACAATCTTACCATATGGAACTGGAAACGTCATAAAATTTTGCTACGCACCAGTGCCTTTACGTTTGATGTTAATAGCGTGATGTTTTCACCCTACTGTCCTGGTCAACTCACTACAGCAGGTTTGTATTTATTTTTTTCCATTTTTCAATTTATTTAGTATAGTAGCAATTATTTATATAAATTATATCAGTTATCATATATTTCTATAATATAAATAGGTGCAGCTCATATAAAATTTTGGAAAATGGCGGAAACATTTACTGGTCTAAAATTAAAAGGAGAACTTGGAAGATTCGGTAAAACAGAAATCTGCGACGTTCTCGGAGTCTATCCGATGCCTGATGAAAAGGTAATATTGCATTTCATGCACCTGATGCTAATGGTAATTTTACAGTTACAATTTAATTTTGGAATAGCTCGGTGGTGCAATGGATAAGCGTCGCGGCCCGCGATCGTTGTTGCTAAGCAACTATCGCAAGAGTCGGTCACGGAATGGATGACCAAAAACAAAATTATCTCGAGCTACGCCGAGCTTCAGAAGACATGTTAAATCGTTGGACCTTTTTACCCTACTATGCGTATTTGTAGTCCATAATACCCTACTATGTGCATTGTCCCAGTGTGTTGGGTTATGGCAATTCCTCCTTAACCACGCATAACCTGAACTCCTACAATGGGAACGTAAAAAGGGCTGATGATAATGATGAATGTAATTTTATTTTTAGGTGCTATCTGGATGTGAATGGGGAAATGTTTTAGTTTGGGAAGCAGGCTTAGTCAAATTAGAAGTAACTCAACGAGGAAGAAAAACCTGTCACAAGGCACCTGTTGTGAGTGCCAACTTCTAAATTCTTTGTTCTTCTTTCTAAATTGTTTGAAATCTGAAAATTGTAAATCATAATAATCAAAAAACTCAAAGAATTAATTTCAAAACAAATTATGTGAATCAATTTTTTCCATCTTAGATCCAGTTCATGCTAAGTCCTGCTGGGGATGAAGTAACAACAATAGCACGTGATGGTTGCATCCGTGCATGGTACTGGGACACTGTTGAACAAGCCGATCCACCTGAAGAGGATCCATATGTAGAACTTAACCCTGTAGCTGAAACTTGTGTATGTGTGATACAATACTTCATAAATTTTTATTTATGAAGTATTCCTTCCTAACCAGATCGTAAAGAATTAATTCATTGAATCTTATTTCTGGCCTTATTTTACTCTAGGTAGTACCTACAAAATTACAAATAGTATATTTGTGTCCACTTTGTCATCATCTCTTCTGTATAACAACAAATTATCTTTCTGCATTATGGGAATAAGAATTTGTCATAAGTTGGAACGTGCATCTCCAGCGTTTAAATAGTGCGACATTTATTTTAATAATTACATAATACATATACAGGTACCGGACTGCCAAATTATGTGTCTCAAACATCGGAAGGATTTGTATTGGTATGCGCAGGTAAATCGTTATCTTAAAAATATTTTTCTGTTCATATTGGTAATACATAAATGGCCTTTTCAATATTCTTTTTATTATAGGATGGCAATGGCGGTGTATGGAATATAGAACTAGATATTGACAAAATAGAATGTGACCATAGAAAGTTTTTTACGTGCCACGCTGGTGGTGTTGTGGCTATGGCTGCATTACGCAACCATCCAATCTTAGTGACTGCAGGAGAAGATGGTGCTTTACTTGCTTACAATACTCAAAATCACGTGCTGCTGTCACGTCATCAATTTCCAACAAAAATCACGTGTCTCTTATACCCTCCTGCAGACGTAAGTGACAAAGGAACAATAAATCAATTAATAAAAATGATACGCTATAACGCTACACATGTTCGCTTATTATGTTAAAGTGCATTAAAAGAAGATGTACGTCATATTACATTAGTCTTATGAACAAATAAGTATAATTACGTGAGATTCAAATCAATTTATTTTTATATCTGTACATATTTGTTGTAGGTAGCGGCAGACTTATAACTTAGGTAGGTAAGGTACAATTTCAATGTTCGAAATATGTATTAATTACCATTTAAATTTACACAGGTAGATGAAACTAGTCGTATTCTAATGTTGGGTTTTGAGGATGGCATCATGCGAACTCTCCTACTTCACCCAGAACGACTACAGACATTGACTCAAATGATCGACGTGCGTATACATTCGTGTCTAACTATACATAGCGACGATTCTGAAAATTCGGATGTTGTTGACATGATATCGGTAATCTACTTATTCATTCTACAGCTTACCTATTATCACTTTATCTCAAAATTGTACTACCATACAGAAACGAAAACTCGAAACTCTTAATAAACTGGCTATTTACAACTTTGCCCTAGTAAATTATAGCTGTGTCACCCGCGTATAATATAGCTACGCGTACCGTAGGTGTAAGAAGTTTTAAAGTCGGTCCGGTAGTTTCGGAACTTACTGAACAAACAAACAAAATTGTACGATACGAGCAAGCGCGTACATTTGCCGCATCATCATTTTACATCATAAAAATTATTCAAATCAGTTCGTATTCGAATATTATAGCAATCGCGCTTATTCATCTCATTATTTTTATATCATTATAATTGTTTTTGAATTAATCAAATACTTTCATTTATCACTGTCAATATCATAAATACTGTGCAAACCGTACATCTTTTTGGTCCTTCGAGCCGGTTCAGAACCAGCGACTCGTAAATATTTATTTTCAATTGTTATTATTTAGTTATTTCAGTATCAGTATTTTTTCAGCTATTAAAACCTCACTCTAAAGCCATAGTTCAAATTACAATTAATGAACAGCGTACTCTATTGGTAACATGTGGTCAAGACAGTACAATTTTTATGTACTCGTTAGAAAAAAAGACGCCGTTCGTGCTACACCGACTCGGATTCATCGAAACTCCAAACAACATAGCTTACATGACTTGGAAACCACAGGAGGTATGCCGCTTAGTTTTATTTATACCGTTCCCCAAAATTTAAAATTTTGGCATAGACGTGATGGTAGACATCGCATTATGGTAAGCTCAAACTTATTAAAATCATATAATTTGGGTATGTCTTACAATTAACGAACACCTGTATGTGATAATGAAATTGAAATAAGACTCTCATAACTTCTAGGAACGCGTGCTATTACTGTGTGGACAAGTTGGATTACTGATGGAGGTTGTATTACCAGAAGTACCAATTCGAAAATATACAGAAATAACAACTTTCAAACTTGATTTTGTATCGTACAAAGAAACTTTAGTTAAGAAAAACTTGTAAGTACTATACACATTCGCTTTGGTCTTTAAATTTGATCCTGTTCAAACAATCCAAACTAATAACTTGTCACAGTATGCGTCACCGACCTTTTCCGACTGAAGAGGATCTAGCTAGTATTGATGAGGAAGCACTAAAAGCTAAAGATGAAGCTGAAAAAGAAAAGAAAGATGATGAGGAGGAAGAAGAATGGTTAGGGGAAATCCAACTCAGTAAGAATGCATAATTAACCTTCAGTGGCACACTCGCATGGTATTACTTACTTCATATACCCACATGCTATAAAAATGATTACACCTATTTTCCCATGACCATCAAGTTGGAGTCCAGACAAAGTAATATCCGTACCTTTGCGTTATCTGACTCTCGACAGTTATATTTCGCGGCTTTGGTGTCCTACATTTGTTCAAAAATATTAAAATGTTAGTATTTGAAAATAAAGTTTGATCTTTATTATTCTTCAAGTGGAGAGTGAAAGCATGCTTGGAACAACATTGACTTGGGCTCATTATTGTGATGAAGGCGTCTGGGTTGTTCAAAGAGGAACAGGAGCTCTTTTACTTGTTAAACCTGGAGGTAATAAAATCCTTAAATATGGCCCTATACCCGGAGCATGGTGTGATGATTTAACTGCATTGAGGTTTATGTGAGTTATTCTAAAAACTACTTATATTTGCTATATCACATCCTACTCACTGTTTTATAGTAATATCACTGCAACTAGTTCTGAATGATCGTTATTATGGTGTCCTCATTAGACTAGAAGTCAAAACAGAATTGTATTTTCATAGATTACTTTCAGAGCACTAAAAAATCCATATTTCTTTACAAAAGAAGATGAAGCTTTCAAAGCTATTAAAACTAGTATAAATAATAAAAAAATATATTACAGATGTGATAACCGTTATCTCATAATAGCAACAAACACTGGCTACATACGTGTAGTGCGGATGCCATCTGAAGAAGAGGATACTCCAGAACAACATTACATGACTTGGATGTTAGCGCAGCAGAAACTACTGAAAAAACTACAAGGTCGACGATTGGCCAAGGAAGAGGTATACACACACATGAACGCATAAATATACACATAAATACACTTTTCGTAAAAGCGTAACATGTAAAATAGTAATAAATAAACTTAGGAAATATTGACAGATTTGTATCATCATGGTTTTGTTGTAAATTTTAGTACGAAGAGGATTATAGAGGTCGTCATCAAATAGTATACATTAAACAAAACCTTAGTACCGAATTCACTACATAACAGTGTTTGCTGATAAATATCAACGTATATGTATCATGATGTATATCAATCAATATATACTCTTACGTTGATGTTTATCAATTAATATTGTTTTATGGTTTGTCTTGAGTCTCAGCTAGAAAATTAACCATCCCGATGAGACGCTGGCAATATTAGGCCGAAGTAGCCATCTTACTGAAATATCGAAATTTTAAAAGAAAAAATATAAATAAAGCTTTTTAGAACCTTAAAAATGGCAGCTTTCATTTGCATGATATACCTATATACAATATAATATCGGGTTAGTATCAGATATTTTGATATTTATTATAAACTTTGGACTTTTGCGAAGCCTATCTATCCGAATACATAACATTGGAGAATTTGCTGCTTCTGAATTAAAAAATAAAATGAAATCAATGTTTATTACAGCCTCAGCCAACACCTCGGATTGATTTCCTAGACAATTACTATTTACCGATGCATGATTGTTACACGGGTGCGATAACCTGCCTTGAATTCAGTTCCGACGGAAAGTAAGCAATAAAGTTCTATTAAAAGTCTCTTTGTTAACTTATAATCAAAACAAGAATTGTTTGGAAACTATTTATCACCTATGTGATTCGAAAATGGAAACAGGCAAAACGAGATTAGGTACTATTTATTAATTCATTTTTCAGGTATTTCTATACTTGTGGCTTAGATGGAAATATCTTTTCTTTCTTAGTCAACTTTGAAGAACCGTTATTATCTCCACCAGACATCACAGAACCTCATACGTTGCCAGTGAGCACATTTAGTTTTAATTTCTCTTTATTTGTAGTCTCGTTATTTCTATATTTACAAGTAGTATGTTCAATAATGATCCCTCAAATCCCCTAGTAATGGCCTACTTTCGCAATAGCTGGTCATAGCATGGGTGACCAAAAATTTATTATTTCGAAACCCCGTCATGCTTCGGAAGGCACATTAAGCCAGGCTTGGTTTGCTGGTCTCGGCTGCATCCACAGTAATTATACCAATACGCAATAGGCCCGTGTGGTGAGTCACGACCTATTCCACTTATTCATCATCATCATCATCATCATCATCAGCCCTTTTACGTCCCCACTGCAGGGGCCTTCCTTATGGATGGTTAAGGTGGATGGACCATGGCCCAATGCGGATTGGAGGGTATTAACGACTGCAAATGCAGCTGGGAGCAACGGCTTAACGAAGCACAGAGTAACTTGAGATAATAATTTTTTGGTCACCCATCCCGTGACCGACACTTGCGAAAGTTGCTTAACGACAACAATCGCAGGCCGCGGCGCTTATCCACTACGCCACCGAGCTACTTATTTGATTCGATTCAATCCATAGAGAATGCCTGAGCCCTAACAGTGGGGACAATAGGCTGGTAATGATGACACTGTGCCTATTTTTATTATAAACTAACTAACCGTCAGCGACGACGCTAGAGAACTGTTTATTTGGATATCGATTCATTTATATTTCGACACAGATATAATAACAATGATAAATTGAATAGTAAGCAATGGTTACTATAGCAACGTTTTAAATGCCCATACAAACTTCAACATCGCATATGACGTAGCTTCCTGCAGGTGAAAGAATTTTTAAAATTCGTCCAGTAGTTTCGGAGCCTATTCGTTGCAAACAAACAAACAATCAAATCTTTCCTCTATAATATTAATATATATTTTAATTTTGAATTCACAATGATTTATTCGATGATCTCGCGATACTTAAGTCGAGTATTGTAAGTTTTTTTTTCATTACGGTAGTTAATCGGATATCGTATTATTTTAGAAAGTGGATAAAGTTAAGGAGTTTAGCACTCTAGAAGGAGAATTAATGTCACACGAACAGCTAAAGCAAAAAGAAGAATACGATAAAATGATGGCAATCGCAAACGCTCATAAGAAACGCGTGCGCGATCAACTAGGAGAACTAACTGCTGAATATAATAAGATTATCAAATCGTATGTATATGTTGGTATGCAATATTTAGCTAAAATACAAAAGTAGAATTTGATTCACACAAACACATGTAAAAATAGTTGTGCATCTCAACTATTCACTCAGATTGGCGTACCTCAAACTTTCAAGCGCAGGTGTTGCAGGATCCATGGGCGACGGTAATCACTTACCATCAGGTGATCCGTCTGCACATCTGCCCCCTATCCCATAAAAAAAACCTACTTTATATGCTTATTTTTGATAATAATAATGCACCTTTACATAATTTTAAGCAACGACATGTCACAATGTTTAGCCTCACTGTATGAATTACAACGCGTTTAAATATTAATATGAATTTTAATTTCATAATCTTTAATTATAATCATTTTTCTAATTTCAAACAGAAATCGTAGCCTGCCAGTATCCCAACAAATCGACGTAACTTTAGATCCCAGACCACTCGCAGTTCAAGAAGCTGAATTAAACGATGCCAAAGCTTTAACGATAAGAAAACTAGCTCATCAGCTTGAGGCTTCAGATTTGGCATATCACAAAATGTACTCTAGGAATATAATACAATTAGATGTTTACCCATTCACATTAAAGGCTATCAGGTACGTAAATACAAAAAAAGGTTTTAAATAGTTCCAAAATCAGGGAAACTGTTCTACAAAGTCCTTTATAGAAGTCTACGATTAAAACTAACTTAGGTTGATTTTAAAAAATATTTTCTAGAGACCCGGAGGTTATGATAAGACCACTAAGGCAGAAGAATCTTTCCAAAGCTTTTTATGAACAACTCGAAGAAGTCCACCAAAAAATGGCAGAAGCGGCTTTACGAGGACGGTAAACTCAGTTTTTTTTTTCAATATACATAGTACTCATAAAGCAGAATTGCAAAACTGTAATAAATTGCTTTTATAATAATACGTCTGACTGAATTAAATAAAAAAAGAACAACATACGTACATATTTGTAAGTATAAATTCAAAACAGCACAATGGCTACTATAAAGCCGGATTTAGGTACTTTATGAAACTAGAGTCACGAAACTAATTTGGGCACATGTGAAACTAGTTTCGAAATGTATATGTGGTGAAGTTTAGAATTAATTACATGTGTGACAATACTTTAGTGTTGTGAAACTAAAGCAGACATTACAAAACTTATATGATATAATAGAATTGATATTAAAATTATTAGTTTGCTTGATTAATTCTGATAAATACCGAACATTAATGTTTATTTTATTTGCGACACAATACAATAATCACATAATAAAACACTGAATCTACTTATTTGATTTCATGCTAACCTTAGTAATATTAATTTACTGGAATTGTGTGAAATGGAATTAAAGTAAGTATGTACAGTTTTATTTATTTTATTTGTATGACCGCTCTCCGTTTAAATCTTTCCTAAGCTACGACAAACATTTAAAAACGAAATCGGCTCAGCCTTTACAGAAGTTTTATATTATAAAAATCAATTGCTGTTCGTTTATCTCTATAAAATTTTAAAATAGCAGATTATTCAAGTAAAATGCAATGGAATGACCCTGCGTCTAAAGAGTATCTACAACGTAAATTTACAAACGTATTGTAATTAATATAAACGATGGCATGAAATATTTCTATTCTTTCATATACATACAAAACATCAAAATTAGACATTTATAATATTATAGATAATTCAGATTTAATTTTTAACGTTAATGGTTAAAATAAATATTCCCTTTAATTTGATAAGATTTAATAGTTCTGACGCAATAATTAATTTAAAATATAATGTAAAAAAGTTTTTACTTCATTATTTGGCATTGACAACAGACGTGCAGAATCTACAACTCGTCGAGTAGCTTTACGTAAAACCTCATTTGGCCCACCTCGTGTTGCTTCTTTCCTCCTTGGTTTGCCACCTAAGCCTCCACATCCGCTAAAGAAAGCAATAAGGAAGTACCATGAACGCCTAAACAGACACCATCAACAATTTATTGAGGTAGGTACCACCTACTTTAGTACCAATACCAGTCTGGTGTTACAGTAGGATGACCGTAAATTTCTAGAAGTACCTACTCGTAGTTAATCACTCCAAGTCAGCTTATTATTGGAGTTAATGCGTTTGCTAATTTTCTGAAAAGAAAATGTTGTTTATTGCATTTTTAATCTAATTTATTATATAAAATAGACCTTTGTTTCACATATATCTATATCGAGCGAAAAAAATCATAAATCATTATTTATACCCAATTTAAAAATAAAAGATGAATGACAACATGGTATGAATTAATAAAATTTTATTATCGCACTTGGCATTGGTGACATTATTTATTATTTAGTTACATACTTAATGAATAAATATTATATTTTAGTGGCAACAGCATTTGGCTTTGAAACCAGATCCCAACGCGATGCCTCCTGGTGCTGCTGAAGCCCTAAAGGAAGCGGAAGCAACTATCGGCAACCGACTGCTGAAAACGCAAGCTGATTACGTAGCACCTCCTGGGCATAACACGCAATTACGCGTCTGTTTAGCTAGGAAAGAGGTTTATGAAATTACAAATTTTATATACACTACCCTACTTGTCTTATCGTCTTACACATTATGTATTTTTTTATTATAATTTCAGATACATGACAACAAAAGAGCATTTAATATAAAAGTAATTGAACTACGTGACCACAAAGTACGGATGGTAGAACAGATGAAAAAAATTGGCGAACGATTGAACGAGATTCGCTATGAAATACCACACAAACTGGCTAAGGCACCTCCGCCGATACCGCAAATTGATGACGATCTCGAATTCCCAGAAAAAAATCTTGAGGTATAATTTTCTTTTTAAAACAACTCGTTTGATAAAAAAATTACTTTATAATACACACTCATAGACTCTTTGAAACTAAATAAGTCTGAAAACACAGGTGAAACCAGACAAAATATACATACCGCAAAGAGGTCAATCAACTAAAAAAGCACTAGAGTCCAGGAAATCTTTACTTTATCCCCAGCCGAGAGTAAGACAAGCAAAAGTGCCAAGATTTGTTCCATTAACAGGTACTAATTTGAAACTACATTTTATAATGAATTTATTGCCAATAAATAATTGACTTTTATGTTTTACAGAAACGCGTCCACTTGCCGCCACATGGGAAATTTTGAGACAAAGACAAGACCAAGAATCAACGTCGATGGAGATAGAAATACGCGAAAGACGTATAGCAAGGTAGTCCCGAATTATTTTTTAGAAGAATATTTTTTTTATATAGCATTTACGTTTCATACTTCCATTTCAGGCATTTATACGAACAAGACATATTACTAGGTGATGCTGAAATTGCAGTTCAAAAATTCGATTCGCGACTTAAACAATTACAACGAGAACGTATACGTGTCCAAGTGAGTTATATATCGTACTTGTTTACTATTACCAAGAAGAACGTATGATTGTTCTATAATATTATGAAGGCAAAAGTTTGTAGATTTGGATGTTTGCTACTTCTTCACGCAATTAGTACTGAATGGATTTTGATGAAAATTGGCATAGGTACAATTAATTCTCAGCCTGGATTAACATATTTCTATCACACTAAATGGTTTCCTAGAGAGTAATGTACCGTCGATACATACATGCGTAGCCGCTGGCGAAAAGCTGTTAATTAATATATAAATAAATATATATTTTTAATTAATACTACGTTATTTGATTATTCAGGAAAAGAATCTGTTGTTAGAACTTCATCATTATCAATTACATAGAGAAATGAACGTCTTGAATCGCTTTGAAGCTCATGAAGATAGACTAGCGGAACGAGTTTATGCAAAGCTAATGCAGGTAGATGGCACAGATATTTAACTGGAATTGAAACAATATAATTGATGTAATCTAATATTAGTTCGTTATGATTTTGTACTGGCAAATTTAGTGTAAGCACTATTTTTTAAACTTGATATAATCACTAGGTAAAATGTAATAGAGTCTCTGCTAAATAATGAATAATTATTTTCGCAAGGTGCGTGCTGTGCAAGATCAAATCACTGACTGTGAGCATCGCATAGAAGAACATCACGCCGAAAAGGAAACTCTAGATCTTGCCTGTCAAGAATTGCAGCGACAGTTCAAAAAATTAGTGCAAGATAATAAATTTGCAGATTTCCTTCGTCGTATATTTAAGAAGAAATATCGTCCACCACGAGACCGTCTCGATGATGGTAAGCAAAGTACTTTTAAATACACACCCTGTAGCCGGTAATAGGAGTTGGAAGAAAATAAGGGCTCAAAATTAAGTAAATAATATAATAAATATAATTAAAATATATACAAACCAAAATACGCAACTAACTTACATGACAGCAAAAGACAGAGGACAAAAAAGGAGAATAACATGTCAATAAAAATAATCTCATGAAATAATCAGGTGATCCGTCTGCTCGTCTGCCCCCTACCCCATAAAAAAAAAGAAATATCTCACCAGCCTGCTGGCGAGTTTGTAACACACCTGATATATCATTTTTTTTTAAACTGCAAACTCAAACAAAGTATTTTTTTAAAGTAATAAAATAAATGTACCAAATAACTTCGCGTCAGAACATCTCAATATCACAAGATGAAAGTATTTGCCAGTGATGACTTAAGGAAGCAAAGCATGGTCGGTAGTCTCATAAAAAGGATCAAAGGTAGCGGAGATAGCAAGGTCGGTGTTTATATAAGTGATCGAATTAGGAATGAGAAAGTGGCGCTGTGGGAGTCCCGGATTCACACATATACACACACACTTACGCACACTTGCACAATTACACATACACCTACTAACATGCATTCTTATATTCACATACATACACAGTTACATGCTGTACTTTTCTGAGGTGATGCAGCGGATACTTACCTACTGGCTGGTGCGACGCCGGGACCTCGATAGCGCCGTGGGCGTGGCGCGACGAGAGCGGTTATACCCGAGAACCGCACTGACTTGCCCTGGCCGCTCTTTGGAGCTATGATCGGGCTAGACACGAGAGGGCACATCGACCTACGGGGTGGAGGGGATTCACGATTATAGTTATGCCTGTATGCGTCCTCCCAACTGGACTGGCAAGGACTGGAAATGCACAATATGGGTGTAGACAGATTTATTTTTTAGATATATTTCATGTCAATCTATAAAATAATAATATTTAAGAAAACGTTGCCCCTGCTATTTCCCCATTCTGGGGTGGGTCCACAGGGGAGAGTCCCACATTACCCACCGACCCCGCCTAGGAAGGAGTGGGTATGCATAACGCATTGAGAGATGGGAATGACAGAATCCGTAAGAGAAGTTATACGTAAGAGAAGTGCTAGAATGACTGCTTAGCTGAAACGGCAGTGGGAGAGAAAATTGGACCTCATTTAATACAATATAATATATAGTTGGACGCCACGGTTTCAAAGTAGGCACATAACTACGTATAGTTTGATTACGAGAACTACTGTTTATCAAATACTTCCTTTTTATGTCAGAGTTATTATACTTGAAGTAAATAGAATGATTTTTCTATACCACAATTTTTTTTTTAAGAAATTAGTTAAAAAATTTCTTTACTAGTTTATCATAACCAGGCTCTGTTATCCGAATAAGTTTTCTAATTTAACAATAATTATACTTATTATTATAATATTTTTCACAAATTAACTTTGCAATACATTCTATTAATTTAAAGAATCATCGGAAGAAGAGTCATCATCTTCATCTAGCGAAGAGGAGGAAGAAGGAAGCATTGACAGTCGTGATATTGGGCCTATACGCCAGGATCCAAACATATGCCCTGAAGGCTGCGATCCCGAAGTTTACAATAAAACTTACGAACTAAGAAATACGAGGTAGGCCCCACGACCGTAATCAACAGAACCATCAATAATTATCGTTCTGCTCTAAATGCTTTAAAACAAATATTACCAATCAGTTGTAGTGTTCATTATTGACTAACTGTATAATTAAAGTGTTGATTATATAACTACATTATTATCACAGACATCATCATGAACAACAAATGCTTGAACAGGATCATCTGGTAGATTTGTTGCGAAAAGATATTGATGCTCATAACAAAGTCAAGCGCAAGCTCTCTGTACAACTAGAACAAAGGAAAAACGAACTAAGGGAATTTATGGTAACAAACAGTTTGATTCCAGTTGTCACATAAGTTATAATTATTATTATTTATCGGTATGTAAATAAAGTGGGTTGTTCCGTATTCATCCCATTTCTTTACTCATCCCAAATTAGTATAAATCAAAACGTATTCCTTACGTATCCAGAAGTAATTAATACAAAAAAAATCTGGATAGCTCAACAACGTTAAATACTATTTTTAAAATTATTATGTATACAATAGAAATGCTTATCTAATATTATAAATTAAATAAGCGTGTTTTGTTTTTAAAAGTATTATGACCTATTAATTCCACTGCTCTTCTGCATCTTCCCAATTGATGCAACTCAAGCTGAATGAGATATAACCTACCATTGCAGAAAATTGGTAGTTTGATATTATAGGGAAACTTGCACATGCAACAAACAGGCATAAAATGAGACAGTGATTCTGCGAGAATTCTTCCTTCCACGCCGAGATTTCGAGATGGAGTCGTTTTATTAAAATTAACAGAAGTATTGTTCATGAAAATATTAACAGGACTCGAAAAGGTCAAATTAATTTATAATACACCAAACAGATATCTAGCTGGGCATTTGTCTGCCTACTTTCTTTTCAGAAGTAGAATTTTCGGCCACACCCTATTAAGTCTACCACTTAGGCGCAAAGTGCTTTTAATATTATCATATTATTTATAACTATTATTAACCTAAATAAATATTACCAATTAAATTTTATTTCTCACGTTCCAAATACCTTACTGAAGATATTTTTGTGGCCAAATAACTCAGTAATAAGTAATACGGTAATGAAAGAAGATTTGTTAATTTGAACCAAAATAAACTTGGATAAAAAAAAAATATTTTTGTCCAGACCGTACATAGAAATCTTACATTTTTATGTGATTTAAAAATGGTGAGCTACAAATCCTGTTGGGATGGATAAGGAATTTAAAATCAATTAAATTGTTGTGAAACATAACGACGAATACGGAACAACCCAACGAAGATTTTATAATATATTTTCTGAATAGTACCTACTTTCACGAGCAAATATGTTTTTATATAACATGTTTGAAAACCCGAGTTCGAGAGTTTTACATAAAGATAAGTAAACCATAACCATGCGCATATAACATATTAATTATAAACTTAGTTGATGAGGTAATAATTATGGACTAAGAGGTAGCCGGATCAATCCGTTACATCTGAGTTACAAAATATTCCTCAAAATTCTTGGGATGCCACTACACCAATATCGCCACCATTTTACTTTAGATATTGTCTTATCTTCTTTTTATCTTTGCCTCTACTAATAACGTAGTTATTTATTCAAGAACTATTATTTTTTTATTATTAGATGGAAAAACAAAGTTGTATGAATGACGTAACTCAAGTAGTAGTTCTACGATATGACCAAATACGAGCATCAGCGATACGAGGATGCACTGGTCCTGAAGGCCTGTCTAAAACAGTTGTATTTCCCGAACGAATGCTTGCTCGATTGCGGCGACGTGTACTAGAGTTACAAGACGAAATAAAACAGCAGAAACAGAGACAAAAGTAAGTTGCTACGTTATAAATAGAATTGTTTCATCAATCATCTACTTCGATTTTCCTTTCACGAAAACAAGGAACAATTAACTATAGCTTAACCATAAAGGATTCTTTGATTTCAAGAAAAAAACTTCGAGATGCAATCTATATTTCGGCAGCAAAACATTAAAAACTGATATTTTTTTTATGAAAGCGTAATTGTATCGTCCTACAATTCAGAACGTTTTTTAAGTTGATAAGTACTTTAAAATTTAGGTAAGGCATAAATTAAATCAATTAAACCCAGAAACAATTATTTCACTTTCAATAGTCTCTAATCAAATATATATTTTCTTACTCTACGTCACCATATACCCAACAGCTGCTTGGAAGAAATTGCTTTTGAGCGATAAGACCGCAGATTGTGCTCTAAATTTGCTTCTCTTTCTGTTTTTCTTTGTGGTGTACAATAATCTGTTAATTTATTCATTTAAACCAACTGTCTAACGATTTCTTAAAAATTGCAACAGAGTAAATCGAACTCACTTATTCCGAATGAACATCGACTTGCGTGCTATGGAAGCCGAAGCGCAAGAATTGCGTGCTAAGATGCGTGATGTGCTCACACGCAAACTAGGACGTCCACGTCGTGTGGATCGTACACTTGATGACTTGTTGCGGCAGATGGCACGCCGGCACAAGTTCTCTACAACTCTAGGCACACTACCGCAAATAATGATACAACTTCGCCAATGGAGGGTATAGAACACATTAAATATAATTGGAAAATAAATCTAGTTCCTACTCCATTTTGAAATTATTTCCTCCTATTTTAGGAACGTCATAGTGAATTAGAGAAGAAATACCTAAAAACACTTACGCATTACTCCGATAGACTTCGTGTAGCTTCAGCATTACAGAGCGAGGTGTTACCACAAAAGGTATCAGTGATTTTTTAATAAATTGCGTAATATTAAAGATACAAATGGTATTATAATTACAATTATTTATATTATTTAAAAGTTAAATAATATAATATAAAGCATTCTAATTACACATATTACTAGCCACAAAAAGATCCAATGGTCAGCGTTGGCGGATATGAGCCAGAACAGTATCAACGCGATGTGGTCCGCTTGCGAATCGTACGAGCCCAACAATTACAGCAAATTAAGGTAAATTTCCTTTTATTAAATATTAATACAAAACAATAATTTAAAAACAAATTAATCTGTTAATCCTTTCATTTTTTAGCAACTTCGCGAGGAAATCCAGGCACTCCGTCTTAAACCGTTATCTCATCGGAGTCCACCGCCGGCCATCTCTCCACCAGAATCCTATCGCTCAGAAATACACCTATTTATGGTTCCACCTTCTACTAACATCAGAAAAAAATATTTCCCCATGTAAGTGTAAACCCATATTTCAGAATTCATGTTGTCGAATTTATTGATAAGCAAGTCTAACGCGATTAATTAATTCTTAAATATTTCAATGATACAGAACTCCATTGGGATCATACGTCAAATTGGTGTACGACGTCAATATACAGAAGCTACTATTCGACTGTTTGGATTCCATGCGTGTATCGCGAGATGAAGCTGATGAACTACTAAAAGATCTTACTTCACAACTGCCAGATGTCACTTCAGGGTATTTAAAAAATAACTTTTTGTTTATTTTATACCTGACAATAACAGAAGACCGATCCCTCCGGACATCTTGCAAATAGAAATAATGACATATATATTTTCACATGCATACAGTGGCGTAGCTAGGTAATCTAGGGCCCTGGGGCAAATAAAAAAATGGGGCCCACTGCTATCAAAACTGGTAAGGTTTTTTGAAGTAAAATCATTAAATATACATATAAATTTATCATCACCTCTTTTTCGTGCATAGGCAGGTAATAAAACTATTAAACACTAACAACATAAATTACAATTATTTTTATACTTGGTGTAGGTATTGGGCAATAAAACGAAATAAAAAGGTTCAAGGGTTTATTATATATTTATTTAATCATAGATACGTTGCACCAGTTTACTGTTATTTAACCTATCGCCATGCAAGCTATTTACAAAAATTATCAATAGAAATATTTGATCCAGAAGTACTTGCAGAAGGCTGACTAAAAAACTTGTCAATTTTGGGCAATTTTTGTTTACTTTCTCCTCTTTCTTGGCGTTGTTTGCGTTTAAATGCACCACCGGGTTTCTTTTTTTTTGTCCATAATTACTTTTCTAATTTATTTATGCAATATTTATGTAAGATTGTACTCAAGTAGGTACTCACTGTTCACTGACAACGTTACAAGTAAAAGGAAAGCGAAACGTGAATGAATGAAAATGATACGATACAAGGCGTCGTTGGGGAATCCCCGGCAAATGCTTTATCGCCGTCAAAGTTACTACATTTAACGGTTTGACGGACTACAATAAAATAAAATTGAACTTTTGTATGGACCAGTACAAAAAATCCTGATACAATAACTTTTTAACCATTCTCGAAAAAAAATCTTGACTCGAAGTTCACAATCGCGAATCACAAAAACGCATATCGATAAATAATAATATGCAGATACTGATTTCCAACAAGTTGATGAAAACATTAATAACACTGTCAACCCACACAAATAATTTACGGGAATTCCCTTTTTATAACTTTGGAATTACTCACAACTGAGTTTCCATGATTAAACTCGAGTTGTCACCTGTCATTTTTATTTTGAGGATGGGAGAAATTTTCAAAAGATGAGTTCGATTGAGATTTTCTGGTAAAGATTCGAGGGCCCCCTGAGCTTGAGGGCCCCGGGGCACTGCCCCGCCTAGCCCCTTAGTAGCTACGCCACTGCATGCATATCCAATTCTTATTATATATAATTATTGTATACCTGTCCAATTTATTTGTCGCCTCGTAGAGCTAAATCTCGCTATGAGGTAGTCGACGCTTTGGTACGCAAGTGGCTTTTGCGACACGGCGGCGATCCCAGCCAGTACAAGAGGCAGACACGCGCCTTTGATTCTCTAGCCGCACTTGCCGATCGCCTAATCAGGCAACATGTGAGTTTATTTAAAACTACAATATTGAAATAGTTCGAAATCATTCAAATAATAATTGTGATATATTATTATTGAAAATACTTTGATATTTAATATTATTATAGGTAGAAACAATGGAAGGCCCTATAGACGAAGGTAAAGATGTGATGGAATCACTGGAAGAGGCATTAAAGGACGTTGCGGATACTAAGCATCCACTTCACGAGCGTCTGGGGCCAGCTTTAGCTGCCCTTTTTCACTCGGCAAATATTGTTGATCTAGGTTTGGAAATCTATTTATAATAATATTTTATGTTGATTATTATAATTATCGATTACACACTTTTTTATTTCAAGCCGCCGCCAGATGTTTACTTTAATGCGAACTATAAGTGATGGGACCGAAGAGATTAATAACAAATCTAGACCCTCATTTCTTTTATATTTTTCAGAAACTGAAGAGACTATGACTTCTCTCGTCAATTCCCTGGTTGATGATGAACATCCAGTCACTGTTGAATCTATCGAACGCATTCAAGTCCCCGACATCATAAATGACATTAAAGGTTTGCTTTTTCAGTTAAAACGCATATGGACTTTTAGATAGATTGACCGTGTTTAAGATTAACCATCGATTTGAGCAACTATTGTTACAACTGTATAATTTAAATTACTTCAGATTGCGGCGTCCAAGCACCCTCTGAAGAATTGGATCACATAATAAGACTCGCTATAGACTGTCTGCGTGCGCAGCTCTTGGCTCCAGAAGAAACGATCCGGATAGAAGAGGAGACTCAACAAGCTATGTCCATCAATATGGTAAGAGCAAAAATGAAATAAAAAAAAAATGGAAAAAGTGAAAAATATAATGGTTATTATATATAGGTGATTCACATATTCAAGATGGATTGATGACAAATTTTTTTTTGTCCGTCAGATAGATTGTTGAAAAATATTAAATATGTATTATTTTCGTATTCAATTAAATACGGCGATACATTAACTTAAAAGATCACATGACGTCACGCTTTTGTACATTTTCTTCAAAACTGTGACGTAACGAGCCCACGCTCCTCCACTTTAATGCCTGTTATCTAAACTAATTCTTCTTAAATTGGCTTCATAATTTCGGCTTCTAGACAAGTGTGCAAAATTTTTTAGAGGTATGTATGTATGTAAGTTAGTATGTACATATTGTTTGTCCACGGATATCTCGCAAACTCGAAGTCAGATGGCAATGATTATTTTTGTTTTATTGCTTAACTTTCAACTTAGGGTACGCTACAAGTTTCATTAAAATTGGTTCAGTATTTTTGTAAATATAAACTATTGGAATTTAAGCTTCTCATGAAAGGAGTTAAAAATTAACCAACTCATAGAGTTAATATCATATTATGAAATAGATTTTCTTACTTCTTACTAAAGAGACGCTTGGCATCAACCCCAAAAAAACTTGTTGGTGTATACACTTTTCGTATTTCGATTTTATTAAATATAAAAATTTGTGGTATTATTTCTTTGTTTTCAGTCGTATCTCTTTATTACGATATTTTTGAAGTCGGTTAAATGTTTTAAAAATTGTTTTTTTTTTCTATTATCTGACTGACAGACTAAATAGATTTCTTTTTTTACCAGGCATCATCCCTGCTATTATAAAATCATAATAAAATATAACGAGTTACTTATATATTAAAGTTAAGATTTTTTCATTTTAAGCTGTTTTGGAATCGATTTTAAAGGTTTGATTTTTAACTACGTAGCTTTTTATCCGCGACTTTGTCCGCGTAAATTATAGCCTAAATGCAGCTTCCCATAGGTGAAAGAATTTTTAACATTGGTTCAAATATCAAATAAAATAATGTGTGTATAAAATACAAATATATTAAGGTTAATTATATTGCAGATGTCTATTACCTCGAGCCGTACCTCTGCATCTCGAAACATTCACCATGGTCAGCACGCGACGCATGTACCTGATACGGATGACCATGTTGAAAAAATTCAGGACGATGATGATCATGATGAAGATGTTGAAGATGAGGATGAGAATGAGAACGATGATGTTGATAAAGATAATGCTTAAAATAATAAAGGAACTTGGCGATGATAAATAATGTTACTATTACAATTTTAATTTAATACACAAAATGAAACAAACGTGCCTATTTATTTTGAAATGGGATGAACTTGTCAGTGAACACTTGGCATAAACGGTTTTGACCTTGTAGCACGTCTGTACCCGCAACTCGAAAATAATCATGTCCAATTTTGATCTAAAAATTTACTAACGCGTCCAATGATATGATATATCTCAAACTGTAGCTTATTTTTTACTTATTTTATCAGGAAATTAAATCTTAAAATAAAGTCAGGACAAAAATTGCAAGGCTGGTAATTTTTTTTTAATAGTACTATGGTTTCATCTACTACGAAAAAATATTCTTTCTTCATGAGGTAAAAAAGTACACATTAACAATTACATTTAGAATTATTTATATAACTACAAAAAGCTTTGATTGTAATGCATAAATTTTTTCCAGTATTGACAGCTATTATAAGCTTAAAATATTATTTACAAATTATGAATCCACTGGCCTCAAAATAAGGTTTCGATATGTTTTTTTTATATCGATATCGCTATTTCATAGATACATATCGATGTTATTGGTAATCAATATATCGATGTACATCGGTTTTATGATATATCGTTGCATTCCAAATACTGACATCCATAGAGATTTAAAATACTTTACTCTTTGATCTGACAGCTCATTTAATTTTGCGAAAGAATATTCTTTCGTTTCGTTTCCTAATTTTATGTTTATCTGAAGTTTATTTTGGAAAGAAAACATGAATTATGAATCTAAAGACTTTTTATATGTTCTTTATAAATCATATGGAATTCAAGTGAATGTTTAATTAATATTTTGATGTTAATATTCTAGAGTCGTCACAATCGTTTTAATGTGTGTTATTTCACTTTGTGATTTTATTATGTACAACCTATGATTATGAAAATAAGATATCTAGTGAAAAGTAATCAGTCGTTGTGTTTAACAAACATGAGGTAAACAAGACAATCTCAAAAAAAAATAATGCAATGTACGCTCCAGATCACAGAAGGAAAGACGCAAGAGATGTTATGTATCGTAGTAATTCCAGTCTCGACTTGATTTATAGTGAACAACCATCAGGAAACGGTCTACGTCGCGAATATGGAAGTCATGGTTCAATTGACGTGATAGGTGGTGGCTGTGAAAGATTACCTGCAATGGTTCATAATTATAGTGGTGTCTCATCGTCGGATAAACCCCCAGGATTGTCACGAGCTTCCGACCGACTCGCGGATGTGCTAAGCAGTGATCATGCAGATGGCCCTCAACCACGAGCTAGTGCCAGTCCAAAACCACGGCTCAAGCTCAACAAACTGTGGGGTGGTGCAGCTCCTGTATTACAACGTCAACCTCTAGACGATGGAGCAATATCATCTGTATCATCAGAGTATTCTAAAAGAAAACAATTTGCACATTATGATTGCCAGTCACTTATGGCCAATTTAAGCTATGCTGCTGAAATCCGAGGAGCATTATTAAGTCGACGCCGCAATACAACTACCGGAGCATCAGCAGCATCTTTGTTGGCAACACGCGGCCTGCCCCCAGGTGAAGATGCTGTGCCTGATACTGGAGATGGGCGCTCTAATGAACTGCTAGATAGCTGCCCCTTCTTCAGAAATGAAATAGGTGGTGAGTGAATAAACTACATTTCTTTTTGAATATAAGTCAATGTATAAATAAGTATATATTTCAAAATTTAAATTATCTATTGTCAAATTATAAATTCCTTATTATAACAATGTAACTGACTTATTGAAATAATTATATTTTCAATTTTTTATTTTCATTTGTCTGAAATGCAGCAGGTCATGTATCTAAATGTTTTTGCAAGAATTAGGTTATTATTATGCTCACTACAGAAATTAACATATCTGATTTATAGGATTGGCAACTATTAGTATGGTACTTGTAGTTGGAGGTTTCACAATTTTATACAAACTTAAAAAACAAAAAATCATTTTACAGTAAAAAATGTAAAAAACATGAAACTTATCATAAACCGTGAAAAACATAACAATATGTAAGTACACATATTTTAATCATAATTCTTTGTTCTGCCTTGGAATGATCATTGTATCACCTGTGAATCAGGTGACATACTAAATGAATTCTTATGTTCTCACAATTATACTGTTCATACATTGTTAATTACAAATATGGCCAATAATTGATATCAATTCTAACAGGTTTATCTACTATATCAGATTTATGCCCCACGCCACTGCATCTTTGTGAAACTTGGATTTTAAAAGAAACATAAGAGCTCAAATAAGATTTTTTTATTAATTTTCGAAACTTGCCTTTTATTATGCCAGAATTAAATCAGAGTGAATATCGTCACTGGAAAGCTAAATATGGTGTGCCTAAATCAATTTAAACAAAAATAAGACATTTCTTTTGGAAAAATATAAAAAAATTCTACCTTAAATATCCATTTTGCTTTTGCAAGTTACAATGTATTTGCTTTCCAGTGTGATGTATACAATTTGATTAAACACACTTAGATGATGAGAATGATGTTTTTTTAATTATTTCAATGAAAAAAGATGAATATTCATTACTAATGTGTATAAAGTATGATTGTTTAAAATTTGACATATTCTTTATTATAAATATTTAAATATTCCTAAAAATAATTAATTATAGTTTATTCATGTTTTAAATTTCTTTACAATACTACACATTAAATAAAAATGCATGTGATACATAAAACTAATAAAAGCATACATACTCAAGATTGTTGAATTATGATAATGCAGTAATTACGCTTTCATCTCTCTTAACATTGATAGAACGGATTTATGAAAGCAACTGTAATTGACATTCCAGAATAACTGAAAGTTAACTCATAAAAATAAATCTATCCATTTTAGCTTGCATGCTGAATTGAATTTATAATTGTAACAAGATTGGAATCATAGGTGATAATGATAAAAAACAAGCTGAACATGGTTATTGTACATAAATATTCTTTTAATTTTCATAACTTTTTGATAAATTTTATTTTGTATTGATATTAGGAATCTAAACTAAATAAGTATTGTAAATCTAGTTAATGTATATTTTGAAATAAAGTGATTAATAAAATAATCCATGGTATTGATTGCCATAATTTTCAAATAGTTAGAAGCTGTTTTCCTGTGATTTCTCCTGCATGATTTACAGTCATTGTCACCCATATATAGGGTTGCAAATATTTCTTCAAAGAAATATAGTATATATAAAAATAAGCTGATAAAATAAAGTATACTTTGAAAAATAAATAGTATCTACCTATCACATTCCACGGGATATAATATATATATATATATACAACATGAAATTAAATTATCCTTAATTCAAATAAGCTCATTTTCAACACTTGAATAATTTCCTACCAACTTGTCTAAGATGCCCTTTGGCTGACAAGAACACAGGCGAAAGAAACTTAACAGCTCTCAGCAGCTGTAACAACTTTTACATAAGCTATCTATCTTTACAGCTTAGAAGCTGTGAAATTAATCAAAAGCAAGTGTATTAAACGCCTTCAAAAAAAAGAATTTATATGTTAGATTTTGCTGTTAAAAATGTAGTATTTTTTATTTTAAAATATATATTTCTCAAACAGTTAACAGCATGCAGGCCCAAAATATAGTACAATATTATATACTATGTCACTGTTAACCACCCTACCTGTACATGACGTAGCTGCACATCCATCAGTCTAGTAGTCTCGGAGCCTATTCAATTCAAACAACCAATCAAATCTATCCTCTTTATAACATTATATAGTATAGAAATATTGCAAAAATATAATGTTATTATAAAGATGTTGAAGCTTGCAATTAGATAGATTTAAGACTTATTTTTTATCATTTGAATATTTTGCTATAGGTGAAGAAGAAAGATGTGTATCTCTATGTTGGAGAACGGCTCGTGGTGCAATCCCTGGTCACATGGGTAGTTGGCACCGACCAAGGGCGGCATATGGGATCTCTGTATTAGAATTTCCACCAGGCCATACTCATTGGCGGAATGGCTGCCCCTTCACAAGAACCCTTGCACCATTACCAGTTGAAAGTCAAGATTTAGGAGCTCTTTATTACAGGAATTATTTCTACAATCAACGTGAGTATATATCATGCGATTTCACTAAAATCATTAAGATTTTACTATAAGATCAGGCAATTATAATTTTCTTATAAATATATACATTTTCAGCGCATCAAAATTGGTTTGGAATGGATGAGAATTTAGGTCCTATAGCCATTTCTATAAAGAAAGAGCGAATAGAGCTTCGCAGAGGCGGTGGTGACGTATCGGCGCCTGCCTCACAGCTCGCGTGGCAATACCGATTAATTGTGCGTACCTCAGAATTACTAACTTTGCGTGGTTCAGTTTTGGAAGATGCACTACCCACCGTTAAACCAAGCAATAACAGCGCAACTTACTGTACGAAAGAGGTGCTGGATTATGTCGCTCCTGAAATGCAACTAAATTGCCTCAGGTGAGTGTTGTTAACTTATATAGAGATTATAGGAAATATTATCTTACAAACCTATTTATTGCGATAAATGAGATAACCATTAATGTAAAATAAATTTACTAATTTCAGACTTGGAATCACAAATAGCGGGGCGGAAGAACAGTTATTGCGCCTCGACGAACAATGCGTAACTAGGCACTATAAAGTCGGTGTCATGTACTGCAAAAGCGGACAAGCTACAGAAGAAGAGATGTACAATAACCAAGAAGCAGGCCCAGCCTTTGTAGAGTTCCTACAAACGTTGGGTCAGACAGTTAGGTTAAAGGACTTTGATAAATATAAGGCGGGCCTCGACAATAGGACAGACTCGACAGGCCTCTATTCAGTGTATACCACTTACCAAGGTTGTGAGATTATGTTCCACGTCTCGACGATGCTACCTTACACACCACATAATCGACAACAGTTACTGCGGAAGAGGCATATAGGCAATGATATTGTGACAATCGTCTTCCAAGAACCAGGTGCTGCGCCTTTTACGCCACGGAATATTCGCTCTCAATTTCAACACGTATTTGTTGTAGTAAGGGCTATAGATCCGTGTACAGAAAACACTCACTATAGTATAGCAGTTAGTCGTGCTAAAGAAGTGCCTTTATTTGGACCTCCAATCAAGGACGGAGCTGTTTACCCAAAGGGTGAAGCTTTCACTGATTTGCTTTTAAGTAAGGTATGTTTAGGAATTCAGCAATGTTAAAAGAAATGTTAGGTTATTGAATACTATAAATTAAATCAATATACTTTTAGGTCATAAATGGTGAAAATGCAGCTATTCAGTCACCAAAATTCAGTACTATGGCAACTCGTACCCGGCAAGAGTATTTGAAAGATTTAGCCAAAAATTACGTAACGGCAACGACGTTGGAGTCGGGTCAAAAATTTTGTAAGTTTATTTTTTCATTATTCTCTTTGACATAATTTAAAAGTTTATTTGTGTAACACCAACTACTTTGCAGGACTAAATACAACCGCATTCGATTAATTCATAATCGACAATTTGTAAAATTAACTTTCCTTCAAACTAAAATTTCATTTAATTTACTGTTCTATTTATAATAACTCTTCTATTTAAAATGCGCAACACCTATAAATAGGTAATTCATGCAGACCGAGGATAAAAAAGATTATCCTTTCATATATGAAATCGTCACTACAGTACAATAAAAACAGGAAAAAGCATTTACGTTCAGATATTGAATTATGTTAAAACACATACATAGATGATGTTAGCTATTAACAGTCACATGCACGAACGTCTATTAAGATTTAAAGACGCCTTAAATGTATAATGAATGTCAAATTAGTATGAGTAATGTCACTTTAAACTAATGACATTTTTAATGGACGTTTGTACAACTAGCTATAAGTATTTTGTGTGAGGTTGCTAATTTTTACTAATGACCCTGTATAGGTCACAACAAATATTTTATTCTTATTCAGTCTATTTGATTATAAAATATACCTCCTATAACTCCCTGCAAAGAAACAAAAAATGAAAAAATTAGTAAATAAAAAAAAAAGAAAATATTAGTGGTAGAAGGAGTTTATTTATTTTCCTCATGACAAGATCATAATCAAAATTACTATACTTGTTGCAATTTTTATGTGCACATGTTCAAATCACATACTAAATTTAAATTAATTCAGCTATTAACTTTTCTGCAGCTATCTTTTCGTCGCTACTAATGAAAAGTGGCAGCAATTCAAACAATAGCGCAGTTTTGCCTCGTTTCGAAAACTGTACCAACGATGTGTTAGTTGGTGGAGCTTTGTGTTTTCAGGTAAGTCTAATAATCTGCTATAATAATACTTGGCAATCGATCAACATTTCGCGAAGCTGAAGAATCCCAAAAAACTTCTGTGCTTCTGGATTTAGCTGGGTTGACTGGAGTATGATTTTTCACGCACAATGAACCGATTAAAGAGTCCTAAGTGACGCCAAATATTTATAAATTCAATTGTCTGCTTGCTAACATTGATATAAATGTAGGAGATCTCATGTTTGAGAGAGGTCAACGTCCAAGCAAAATCTTTATCTTTTAAACTTTTACATATACCTATCTTAATGAAATGAATTTGTTTTATATGATAGAGTGTACCTGAAATACTCCATAAGTTTTATTAATTTTACAGCTACAAGTCCAAGACGAAGGTGCTGGTGGATTGTTACTTGATTGCATCATGGGAATTTCAGCAGACAGTGTAGTATTTATAGAAGATAGTACTCGTCAAATTATATTAGTTCTACCCACAAATTCCTTACTTGGTGAGTTTTATAATTTTGTATCTATCTTTATATGTGTACAGGTGCAGACTTTAATATGATGTATAATATGTTTAGGTTGGGTGGTGAGCGGTGGATGGACTCGGATATATTATCATCGCGGTGAGAGTGTACGTGTACGCGCACGTACCGTTCACGACTCGTTGCTCCGCCGTTTGGCCGCCGTAGCGCCGCATCATGCGCACGCGCTTCACGAGATCACACTCGAGCGAGGCGCCGCCACGCAGCTAGGTAACCCACAAACGTACAATAGGGATGACGACTGAGTAAAAAAAAATATTATATTTAGTCCGTCGGTCTTATAATAGAAAAATGTTTGATGCATATTTTTTTTTCCTTCAATTTAAACAAGAAATGGCTTATATAATAGGTATTAGAGTTGAGGAGTGTGGGCTCGCTGCGTCACAGTTTTATAGAAAATGTACAAAAGCGTGACGTTATTTAAACTCGATGTATCGACGCAAAAAAATAAAATAAATACATATTTAATATTCTTCAGTTATCTACCTATCCTATACGGACAAACAAAAAAAAATAATCGTCATTCTATTTAAAACAAAACAAAAAGAGATTCTATTTAGTCCGTCACAGTGACGGACGTGGCGGACTAATCCAATTAGAGGACCTGTGTGGCACTGTTCTAACCACTGCGCTACCCAGGACCTAACAGGACTGACGAATTTTTCAAGCAGTTGTTACTTTCGCTACAATGTTAGGCAATCCACCCAAACAGCCGAAAAAAATATTTTTACAAATATTAAAACTTTCTATAAAGATGAAAATTGGTTTTGATTATTTCATTCCGAGTGCCATCACAGTGTTCCAAGAACAAAGTGGATTTTTTAAACATTTTTAATTAAAAATATTTTTCAGTATAACATTGTGAACGCAAAATTTATCAAATAGTCTGTGTGAAATTTAATAAAAATTCGTGCCCACAAATTGTCTAAAAGGTCTAATAAATTAAAACTACTGTGTGATATCTGCGAGTGCGTAGTTTGACGTTTCTAAGGGATGGTAATTCGCTATTTGAACCTTCAAATGGTAATGTAATATTATACTGTACAGGTTTCCACGTCCAGCCAGATGGTTTAGTGACGGCGGTAGAGGGCGGTGGGTGCGCGGCACGTGCGGGCATACGGCGCGGCGCTCGACTACTGGAGGTGTGCCGAGCTGCCGTTGTCGCACTACACCACGATCAACTGGTCGATCTACTGAAAACATCCGATCCTGTCACTGTGAGATCATTATCTATATCTATTCATACATTACAAAAATTTTCCGCGAATTCCTTACCTCCTTAAAATTGACAAGTTTTAAGTTATGTAAAGTTACCCTTTGGATATTTTGTGGGTATTTGTAATTTTTATAATTTGATGACGCACACACTTCCAATTTAACACTAATCCCCCTCCCAAATATTAACTGGTTGAACGACTTATAAATGCTTATATTATTACTACATACTTACATAATTAATTAATGAGCAAACCATTCTATGAAACATTTGTGATCTAATAGTACCCCCCATTGAATTTTATTTAGCCAAACCACAATACAGCTTGTTTCTTGGCTGACTGCCAAGTCGTGTTGTTTAAATTATTTATTTTCATTTTTAAGATGTACAGTCACAGATACTACAATGAACTATTAACTTTTGTAAAAATAATGTAAAGGTACTAAGTATATTTTTGACTTAATTTTAAGTGATTGTGTACGATTAAACATACAAATAAGTAATATGTAGCAAGTTAAAATTTAGGTTACTAATGAACTTAATTAAAATTAAATTTTAACTTTCTACTTATTACTTATCTTCAATAGTTCGCTGTTCGTTTTCCTTTTCTTATATTTCTATTTTTCTTGCACAATAATTCACACACAGAGAACGTTTTTTGATGTTCTAGAACAGTTTTGAGAGGAGTGTATTATCGCGATGACAGACCTTTTTTATTGGATGGGTAAGATTACAAAAGATATTTTATCAACTACAGCTTGAGTTGTGTGTATTTTTATTGTAATAAAAAAGCCGAGTAATGTAGTATTAATAATATACTCATAACGAAGAGCGTAGACACGTACTTCATCACTTAAAATTAACTTAAAAATCTACTTACCACTTATCTATTTGATCATGTGTTAACCAGACATAAACATGTCCGTTACCGTAGGTGTCGGTAACGTTCGCTGCTAGTTCACGTTGCGGCTGCGAGAGCGTCGGCGTGGAGAGCGAGGAACGCGTGTGCCGCGCGGACGCTCAACAGCCGGCGAAGAGGCGGCCGCATGCGCCCGCGCACTCGCCCCCGCGCTCGGACAGCTCCGGATACGGCACCGGTCAGTATCACATGCAATAACTAGAGATGCGTGCGCGTGTAGGGCGAGGAGGTGGCCGCATGCACCCGCGCAATGGCCCCGCGCTCGGACAGCTCCGGATACGGCACCGGTCAGTATCACATGCAATAACTAGAGATGCGTGCGCGTGTAGGGCGAGGAGGTGGCCGCATGCACCCGCGCAATGGCCCCGCGCTCGGACAGCTCCGGATACGGCACCGGTCAGTATCACATGCAATAACTAGAGATGCGTGCGCGTGGAGGGTGAGGAGGTGGCCTCATGCGCCCGCGCACTCGCAAATTCTTTTCTTTTGTGGAAAATTGTGTGGAAAATATGAAAAACTAACCTTAGTGCTTTGGATTATATAAACTTTTAATGTAACCTTGTGACGTTTAATATAAAATTGACAGAATGCATGTAAATATCTCACATAGGATGTAAAAAACTGTTAAAATTAAATATTCATAATTAAGATAGGACGATGTCTCTATGCTTTTTGCGACGAAATAAAACAAATATATAGGTTAATAAAACTAAGTACGTATTAAAGGTAAAAAATATTTGTTAAAATTAAACGTAATATTTGAAAATATTCGTTTTAGGCTCCTTGAAATACTTTTGCCTCTAAAGTTTGACATATTTTCATCAATTTTTTTTTTTGTGCTCGGCCAAAAAAAATTAAAAAAATACTTTTAAGCACATGTGCAGTAAAGGATTTCAGTACATTTTTATTTAACACGTGTTTAAAGACTCACTTTCGGTGTTTACAATGGATTAAAAAAATAGAGCTTTATGAGCAACTGCATTGAAAAGATAATTTTGACTTTACCCTATACTATATTTATTCATCCACAGGTGGGTCGGGTCGCAGCGCACGTCGCTCACCGCAAACGTCACCTGTATCAGAAGCGGCGTTACGTCGACGATCTCACGACGATTCACCACGGCACGGGCGAAATCGTCGCTCATCACCCAACACTAGCTCGCTCACGGTAAGTTACTAGTAACTCTCGTATCCGTAAAACGTATAACGTGTCTCGACTTTCGACCTCCACTGACCAACAGGATTGGTCTATCCAATCCTAGAACAATGCTGCTAACACAATCGTGACCGAACAACATTGCAATACGGGTCTGACAGTAAACGAAAATAGATACATTTTTCTTTCTAGTGTTTAATATCGTATTACCGAAAATCACACTTATATGATAATTGTAATTAGCATATAATTATATTTATAATATTGCTGAAATTCATTATAAAAAGAAAAACAAATATTTTATACTCTCTGTCACGTAACCGCAAACAGCGCGTGATGTCACGCTCATCTTAATCATATCAGAACTTAGAGAATTCAACCTAATGCATACATAGAACGGTATTAGTTTCAGAGAGTCGTAACGTCATTGCGTAAAGGGGCCGAAACGTCAATAAAAGAAAATACAAACGCGATGAAACCGTTTAAAAGTTGTTACATTTATCCTTTATCCTAATTGTTTTTTTCTCAAAGGAGGAACTGATGCGCTTAATGGATGCTGAACTAGGCACTGGTCCTCGGCCCACTGATAATGGAGTGGGGATGACGACGGTCACAGCCCCCACACCTCCACTTCCACTGCCAGACGCTTCAGCTCTCGACTGGGCCACTTTAGTTCACACAGCGACTAGAGCTATGCTACAGGTAAAATATTAAAAAATAATATTTTTTCATTGATTATTTTAATTTTTTTTTTTTTTGTTTACTTTTTCATTTTTATTTTAGTTTTACTGGCATGAGCTATAACGATGAGCTAACCATCGAGGAGAAATTGACAGTTCTTATTCATATATTTTAATTTCAAACTGTTGATTTTTTTAACTGATGATGATGACTTGATGACAAACGTATACAAAAGTTTTTCAAACAACGTTTTAGCTAATGAAATGGATTGAGACATTAAATTGTAACATATTTAATGTATAATTTAAAAGCCTTGTGTTGCCAGCAAAATCAAGGTGATTTTGTTTATCATCTTATTCTTAATAAGCCAAAAAATTGAATGTTTTTGTTTCAGATTTGTGAAGAACATAATTATCCATCAATGGACAACACAGAACCTTCTCTAGAGACCTTAACCAGTGAACCGGTCCATGACTCCTGGTCTGAATTACCTGTGAGTGATTTTATAGATTTTCTTAAGTATCATCATCAGCCTTTTTACGTCCCCACTGCAGGCAACTTATGGATAATTAAGGAGGATAGGCCTCCAAGCTGGCCCAATACGGATTGGACAGATACTAATTGTTTGGTCACTCATCCCGTAGCTGCGAAAGTTGCTGACCAACAACAATCACGGGCCTCGGCGCTTATCCACTACGCCACCGAGCTATTTTAATGGATTGTTTAATGTATAATAAGTCTTATAACTTATAAAATATTATTGTTTTACTATATCAAATGTTATTAAAATCAGGGTTCCGATTATCAAGATAATTATACTTTTTGGGTGATTATCCGTGGTTACAGCCATTTTTTTTTAATACAGATAGGCATTAATAGTTGAAGTAAATTTATTTTTATCCTTTTTATAATTTTACTTTAATTTTTATTCAATTCTAATTTAATTCAGTCATTTAGAACGACTATTTGGATATTCATTATCATCACTTTTTAATTTTTGAGAATAATCTAATGCTTTTTTGGATTTATTTAATTTTGTGTTTTCGGAAGGATTTCTTTGTAAAAAAAAATAAGTATAAGATCATAAAAATACTAAGAAAATTTATATTTCGCAGGAGATACCTGAAACGAATCAACAAGTGGAATCTACGACAGTCGTAGGTAATGCTGCAACTGGAAGTGGCAATGGGAGTGCAAATGGTACACCATCAGCAAACTGTGCTTGTGGATTATCGGCACGCGTGGCCTCATTAGAAGCTGATGCTGCAGTAGCACAGCGGCATCAGCATCAGCTGGAAGACGAGGTAAGCATCCCGAACAGTGAACAGTCGCCACTAATGTACAAGTGAAGGACGAGATGAGTATTGTACAACTAATGTAAAGTTGAATGATGAGGTAGCATCTCGAATAATGTAAAGCCACTATAACTAATGTACAGATGGAGGATTTAATGAGTACACTCAATAGCATACAGCTGCTACAAGTAATATACACAGAACAACATGTCATCATCATCAGCCCTTTTACGTCCCCACTGCAAGAGCTCAGGCCATCCTTATGGATGGTTAAGGACGATGGGCCATGACCCTCCACGCTGGTCCAATGCGGATTGGAGGGTATTGACCACTGCAAATACAGCCGGGACCAACGGCTTAACGTGCCTTCCGAAGCACGGAGTAGCTCGAGATAATAATTTTCTGGTCACCCATCCCGTAACCAACCCTTGCGAAAGTTGCTTAACGACAACGATCGTGGGCCACATCGAATATTCCTTATGACAGTACAGCCACAACAAATCCCGAGCTGTCCGAGTAATATCCTCGCTCTGCTGTATTATAAACTTTAAGAACGAAGTGAACCACCATATTAATAATTCCGAGCGGGAATCGAACCTAACACCGCAATTCAAGTACCATATTAACTATTTTAAATTTCTCCTACATATATTAAATATTTATATCACACTCATAACTTTAGGGATGAGAAAGAAAATATAAATTCTGGCTTACGTTTCTAGATCTATGGACGTGGACATTTATAGAGAATCTGTAGATATGATGACTAATTTTTATTTGTTTGTCTGTCTGGTGGATTTTTGAAAATATTAAACACGTATTTTATTTTTTGCTTAACATAAATAACGTTGATACATCGAGTTAAAATATGGCATGACGTCACGCTTTTTTATATTGTCTACAAAACTGTGATGTAGCAACGCCCACTCCTCAACGTTAATACCTGGTTATCTAAGCCATTTACTGTTAAATTTAGTTTTTTGTAAAAGCAAGAAAATACGTAACTAATATTTTTCAATTATCTGATTGAC